AATTGGTGCAGAACACTTCCGAGAATGAGAGATCTCCGGGTAACGACCCAAGACGTCACCATGTGGGAACACCTCCGAGGTACTGCGCTACGCCAAGCACCAAAAAGAGTGGATCTCCTGATAGGTCTGGATGTACCACAAGTATTGTTGCCGTTAGAAGTAAGGACCGGGAAGGACGGAGAGTCGTTTGCAACACGCACCCTTCTGGGCTGGACTATAAATGAACTGCTTGGAGTGGTGAGCCGTGATCAACCACTTTGTCAGAATGGCAACATTAAATTCGGAGACAAATCAGGAAAAACAAGTCAGGAACTTCTGGGAATGCGACTACGCCTACAGTAACGATGATCCCGTCACTGTCGAAGACAAGAGAGTCCTGATGCAGTGGTCAACGTCAATTACTCAAGTGGACGGACACTACAAACTTCCCATCCCGTTCCACCATGAAGAACTGGGACTCCCAGACAATAAGAAGCTTGCCGAACAGCGATTTGCGGGTCCGAAAATGCCTCCTAAAGAACCCAGGGCTCTCTCAGAGGTATCAAGAAGAGATGAGACGTCTAGTCAACGAGGGACATGCTGAGCGAGTACCACGTCAAGAACTCAGTGTTGCACCCGGGAAGAACTGGTATCTCCCAAACCACCCCGTGTTGAGTCCCAAAAAGCCAGAAAAGGTGAGAATAGTTTTTGATTGTGCAACCGAATATGAGTCGATGTCATTGAACAGCCAGGTGATGCAACGGCCAGACCTTAACAACAATTTGATGGGAGACCTCATCAGATTCAGACAAGGAAAGGCGGCACTCATGGCTGATATCGAGGCAATGTTCCATTAAGTGCGAGTAGTACCCGAACATCGAGACGCCTTATGATTCTTATGGTGGACGGGCGACCAGTTGCCAGGGGCCCCAACCACTTAACGAATGACAGTACATCTCTTTGGAGGTATGTGTAGCCCTTCATGTGCCGGGTATGTGCTACAACGAACATTCCAAGATTACAGGGAAAGTCTTCATGACGACATCAAGAAAGCGAATCGTAACTTCAACGTTGACGATCTGCTTCTCTCAGTAGATTCGCTGGGGAAGGCAACGATAATTATCCATTGACTGAGACAGCTGATGAAGAAGGGTGGATTCAGACTTACGAAGTGGGTCTGTAATCACAAGGAAGTCCTCAAGGCAATTCCACAGACAGAGAAAGCTGTAGGTGAGACTATCGCCTTCTACTGTCGAGGCAACATCTTGACTCTCGTCAGCCAACATCTTCCTGCAGGACATTATATTTGTTCTCATTGGTCTAACCCTAGACCCCAAAACGTTTTGACTGTAATCGCTCATAGGAGCGATTACAATTATTGTAGTGTATACTGCATCGCCATATGCCCTGGTTTATTCACTGATCAGGTGTCTAAGTGTAAAAATAGCCAAATCAAGCTATCATGTATCAATTAAATTTAAAATAGAAATGAGAAATTAAAATGTTATAAGACAATGGTTTAATAGTGCCGTTAACGTGTTTGCTGTATAAGTGCCTCGTCACGTCACGTCACCTCCTGCCTCGTCACCTCACCCCTCGCATCATCAACTCACCTCGCAGTGTTACATTTATTTATTACTGTATTACTCACTTTATTATTACTGTACAGAAAAAGAACGAATAATTTATCACAAAATTCGGAAATTGTCGAATAATGTCAAAATATTCCGAACTCGATTAATTCAGATTTTTCAGTAATTCGTGTGACCCATAACCCCCTTTTTGTCGAATTACTGAGGGTATAGAGTACAATAGTGTATAACCTTTTAATTTCAACTGGTGGCACACATCCACACTTCATATTGGTGCACACAACAAAATTCAAAGAATTAGAAGGAAAATTGCTGTATAGTATATGCCAACTTCATGCCCTACACCTCATTGTATTCCACCTTTTCTCTTCTATTTTCCTGCCTTTTCTTGCCCTCTTTCTTCTTTCTTTCTCCCCACATCCTATTTGTCTGCTCAAGTATCAAGAAATGGTTACTTTACTGGTAGTATACGAGACAACAAACACTTTCAGACATTGAGATAAAGAAATAAAAGAATGACTCAATGTTCACTTGCCCAGATGGACAACTTAATCACACAAAAGCCCCATCAAATTTCTAGACTGTTTTGATTACAGAATACCGTACAGTATGATCAAACTGATCCCTAAATACAATACCAAACTGACTCATAACCAGTAACGTAGTTCAGACTGAGACCACAAACAAGATTACAGGTTGACACCCTTATCCAAAATTCTGAAAACCTCTGAAAACTTAAAAAAAATTTCGTGGAGCATCACATACCCCCCTCCCTCCCCGGTTTTTTTTATAGGATCAGCCCACCCTGGCACAGGTCACCGACCCACATTGGGGCCTGGGGGGCAAAAATGTAATACAGGTAATAATAATAATAATAATAATAATAATAATAATAATAATAATAATAATAATAATAATAATAATACAGTCAGCCCTTAACATACGCGGGGTTAGGTAACAGAGATACCCGTGAATGTTAAGAATCCGCGTATTTTTGCTGCCCCCTAAAACACCCCTGGCCCCCCATGTCCTTATTGACCGTATATACCTGTGTATAGTTCGAGTTTTTAAGACCAAATTTTTGGCAAAAAATTGGGGGTCGACCTCTAAACGGGTAATAGTTTTGTTAGGTTGAAAAATATTTACCAGTAACTACCAGTAAACAATGGAAACGACGCACCATCAGCTGTGAGTGTCGGTACAGTTGCCAGGGCAGATCTCTTGCGTCATCATAGCAAGCCCAAAGTAGCCAAATGCATGGTATGGTAGCACAGGACGATGTAAAACATAAAGTATTGATTTTTTTAAGTTTATTTATAGATACATAAATTTTTGTTCATTACATTTGAAACATCAATCTATGTTAATTAAATTTGAAACAAAATAAAACTACGATACCGTATTTCTAAATACCGGGTATTTTCATTAAAATATTACATCACAAGTACATTTTACCTTAACTGTGACTGAATGAATATATTCTCAGAAATAAATATGGAAATGTAATATTTTTGCTGAAATGACGTACGTATTACAGTGGAAAGTGGGATAAAATCATGACGAAAACAATGACTTTCGCTTTCTTTCGTTGTTCAAAAGATTTTACCGTACCGTAATCACTTTTCGAATGGTTTTCAGTTAAAAACTGTTGTATTACAATAATATTCTATCCTAATTCACTTGAATAAATACTACGATACCATATTTCTGAATATTTTCATTAAAATCCATCAAAATCATTTACTTGTCATCGTCTTCAGCACCAAACAGCTCCTCCCAGTCTTCTCCTTGAACAGGGCCAGAGGGTACGTGTTTTTCGAATCGTTTTCAATTTAAAACATGTTACAGCACATGTATATTTTACCTAAACTGTGCCTGAATGAATATATTCTCAGAAATAAATAGTAGTTTTGCTGAAATGTGATGTACTGTACTTCAATGTAAAATGGGATAAAATACATGACAAAAACAAAAGACTTTACCTAACCTTCCCATGTTCAAGATATGTTACTCGTTTTTTTAATAGTTTTCGGTTAAAATACTGTTATATTACAATGATATTCTATTCATACTGTGCTTGATATAATACATTCACGGAAATGTAATAATGTTGCTGAAATGACGTACGTATTATAGTGGAAAGTGGGATAAAATCGTGACAAAAACAATGACTTTCGCTTTCTTTCGTTCAAAAGATGTTACAGTAATTTTCAGTTAAAAAACTGTTGCATCACAAGTGAATTAGGATAGAATATTATTGTAATACAACAGTTTTTTAACTGAAACCCATTCAAAAAGCGATTCCGGTAACATCTTTTGAACGAAAGAAAGCGAAAGTCATTGCTTTCGTCACTTTCCACTGTAATACGTACGTCATTTCAGCAAAAATATTACATTTCCATATTCTCAGAAATAAATAGTTTTGCTGAAACATAATGTATTTCAATGTAAATTAGGATAAACTACATGAAAACAAAAGACTTTACCTAACCTTCCGATGTTCAAGAGACGTTACTCGTTTTTTTAATAGTTTTCGGTTAAAATACTGTTATATTAGTGATATTCTATTCATACTGTGCTCGATATAATACATTCACGGCAATGTAATATTTTTGCAACTACAATGCTGATGTCAACACAAGCGTGGTTACAGCGAGACTGACTGAGGGAGCGCGGGAACGGGGGTGGCGCGGGCGATGTGTGTGTGTGTGTGTGTGTGTGTGTGTGTGTGTGTGTGTGTGTGTGTGTGTGTGTGTGTGGTGTCGCACACGATTTGAATAATGTACATTCCTTTGAATGTCTATTCCTCCAGTGGCAATCCGCGTATTTGCAAAAATCCGTGTAAGTTAAACCCGCGTATGTTAAGGCCCGACTGTAATAATAATAATAATAATAATAATAATAATAATAATTCATAGTTAATAAAATTTATAATAAAAATACACAAAAATAAAATAATAAAATATGAATGATAACAATAATAACAACAACAACAACAACAACAATAATATTAATAATAATAATAATAATAATAATAATAATAATAATAATAATAATAACAATAATAATAATAATAATTCATAGTTAATAAATTTATAATAAAAAATACACAAAAATTAAATAATAAAATATGAATGATAACAATAATAATAATAATAACAACAACAACAACAATAATAATAATAATAATAATAATATAATTATAATAATAATAATAATAATAATAATAATAATAAATACAAGAATTAAAAAAGATCAAAAGTGAGAAACACGACCTAAACATACGAATTATTATAATTATAATTATTACATTTTCGCCCCCCAGGCCCAATGTGGGCAGTGACCTGTGCCAGGATGGGCTGATCCTGGTGTAAAAAAAAAAAAAAAACTAACCTAACCATTCTGAAATCCGAAACACATCTGGCCCCAAGGATTTCGGATAATGGATTGCTAACCTGTACCTGCATTCACAATTTTGGCCTTTATGCTCTTTTGAAGATTAATTTCCCAGGTAGTTTTGGGATGTTAATCTTCAGGCTGGTTAAGCTGGGGGTACAACTCTTTAGGTGAGCACTTGGGGGCTAATCTTCAGACTAAAATTACGAAAGGTCTCATTCTCTACTGGGCCTACATCAGCACTCACAACAAACATGGTGTTCTTACCCATAACTCCGTACTGCTGAGGCGTCAGTGTGTTAGCGTCGGCAGCATGTGTGGTTAACACAGAGGCTACGCTTGTTCGATCACTGCTCACAGAGATCGAACTTTGACGATGAACAGAACGATGGAATCCTGGAGACACATTGCCCCCAACACTGTGAATTTCTGAAAGAGAAATACAATAGTTTATTGATATTTTTTTGCCAATGTAATGATTGTTAGTATGATACTGAGTCCCTTCAGCTCTACACTGTATAGCTACTACCTTATTGCCACAATTCTCAGTGTTCCAACTGAGGATGTCGGATATCAATATACAGTACAGTACACAGTTGCAAGCATCTTTTCTTCTTTTTCACATTATGATATACAGTACAGTAATTTTCATTAATATAAGAACAACTCAGAATTAGGTACAGTACACAGTATAATACTTGAATGACTCAAAATTACAGTAAAGTATTCATAATGTTGATTAATTTCACTTATTGGTGACTCTCCAAACTTCAATTTTTTTTCTCCAACACTAACACCAGTTTTTCTTCACTGGGGTATTTGAATTAGTTTACAGAGGTGAGTTGGTGAGAGGACCCTAACAACCCCCTCATTAAACTATCAGTAACACACCATCACAACTACAGTATACACTATGAATATCCGGAACATCTCTGGAGCTACAGCAAGAACTAGCCTACAGGTCATAATAAGATAAGCCCCCAGCTTATTTCACCCGATGATTAAACCCCCGAATGCTACCTGGCGTGTTAGGGTGTTTCTCAGGGGAAATAAGCTGTAGGGGGGTAATCTTCATATGATCCTACCCCACATACCTCATTTCTTCTTCACACTATAACCTCATCACTGTCCTAATCCACTCACTCCCCAAATATCTACAAGTATATACTGTACTGTACAGCCTTCAAGGAATCTAACTTAAATTTAACACTTTGCTGCACATTCCATAAAAAAATATATATTTCACCCGCCAACAGTCAAAGATATGTAAAAGTAGCTCTAGAAACTCGTACTGTATAAACAACCTTAAAACTACTTGTCTAGACCAAAGAACTTCAGTTAACACTAAAAATTGAAGGCTGTAACAAGAGCACAGACCGACCCCTGACTGTCTAGTAACAATAGAAGTTGTGAAAATGATAAATAAATACATAAAAATAAATAAATAAATAATTATGACAAAGGAACACAACATAAGTTACATAAAACCATATTAGTCTACATAAACTAACCTCCAGAGGGACTACATATTGTGATGGGCTTTGCTTTTCGAGAGCTGCGAGTCAAGTCATCATGTTTGACCAACGCAGATTTTCGAGGTGTGCGACGGCGACGACGACGCAGATATCGAGCCACGAGTCCAACCAATGCTAAACCAGTTCCTACACTGATTATTACAATCTGCAAGACAACAATAATTTTATTCATGTAATACACCCAGTACCTGCATTGTCTATATACACTTCAAACTAATTATAAAGTTGCATGATAATTTTACTGAATAAATTATTTATCTTATTATTATAATTAGCTCTTTCCATTGTTTGCATATGTTGTGGACACACATGAGGTGCTCCAGCCAAGAACAAAACAAAAGCAACAAAGCAGTTTGAGTTGTCTGTTCAAAAAAGGGAAGGTTGAATATTAAAATGGTATACTGTATGTACTAAACTGCCTTGTTGCTTGTCTCGTTCTTGCATGGAGTGATTCATTTATGCGATGTCTAGCGTAGCACAGAAGAACTAACCAAAACACTTCAGATCGGCACATTTTTACCCCACACCCTGTGGAACTCACTACCCTATACAGTATTTCAATGGCCAGATTGAAAGATAAAGCCTGGAAAATTTTAACTCGATAGAAAAGAGTTCGTCTGTGCTACGCTAGAAAACTCATTTGTACGTAGATAGATAAAGAGAGAGGGCACTGATCATCCTGAACTATTAATAAAACCTTGTCAACATGAATATTAAATGCACTGATTACCCTGACATTAACAAAATAAATACAGAGCATCCATCAAAGACTAACCTTTTGAGGTTTTGACAGGTTTTTAGCATATTCTGACAAAACAGATGGGAGGGCCAAGCCTGACCGAGTTGGCAGACGAAATAATGGTTTCTGTACTGCTGGAACAAGGTGGATCTCTTCCATGGTCTACTGAAAATGGACAAATATAAACCATTAATATGAGATCGCATAAACTTAATAAGAATCACCTGAAACTTTAACCCCCAGTTTATTTTCATCTTAAGATTAAACACCCTAATACCAACCTAACTTAACCTAACTACCTCGGTAGTGTTAGGATGTTTAAATCTTAAGGTGACAATAAGCTGGAGGGGCTAATATTCAAGTGATCTCCTATTAATTAAATTAAAATAAAGGTTGCAAAAGATCATATGGATGACCTGATGATTAACCCCCAACTTATTTTACCTTAAGATTAAACACCTTATTGTTACTTGAGTGGTTAGGAAAGATTAAGTCAGGTTAGGTTAGCTTCAGGGTGGTTATCCTAAGGTGCTGCACAGGAGGTTGAGGCGAGCAGTTAACTATGTGAATGGCAATTTTACAGTGCTGTGGCAACCCCACCTTATAGCAATACCCCACCAGCCTAAGGTACATTATGGTAAAATCTGAGTGAATCATTACCAGCACTTCATGGGCGTCTGTAGAATTTTTCCAGGGAGGTGAAAGAAAACAAGACAAGACTGAACATATCAGTTTATTCAAAACAGGTATATACAGCCATATAAAAGTTTGATCAAGTATAATTGAGTTAGTACTTATGAGTACTGTATGGTGAGCAATATGAATTATAAGTGTTATCACCAAATTCGTAATCACTAAAATTATCATAGGATTAAAAAATAATGAAAATAATTAATTTGTTATCATTAATCCCAAAAATCTAGGGACAGCCAATGTTATCTGTCATGATGGTGACTTGCTCAGAACATTAGCAATATACTTTCATTGGTTAAATAAATGCTGCAGGCGGCTCTTATCAGGTCCAAACTGATCAATCACATCTTCAGTAAAGGCCTTCTTTCTATCTAATATCATCTGGCAATGCATGCTAAGCATGCTAAACGATTGATCTACCAACTTCACAAGTGGATACTGGAAGTGTGAAGGAGATCAGTATTTCTTCTTGAATAGCAGGAAACAAATCACACTGCTTCAGAAGATCCAAGGACAAGGTTGCACCAGAATCAAATGTGGTTTTCTTCTGCAAATGTTGACTGTGTCCACATTTCAAACCATGACTGCAACTCCTCAGCAAAATTATAGATGTTGTGGATATCATTCAATTGTGCTATTTTTCCAACATTCAGCAACCACTGGATCTTTTCTCACATTGCCACCATACTTGGTTTTTGCAAGTGACATGTTTGGTATACATGAACCCAATGTAGCATATTTTTGAGACATGCTTATACTGTACAGTAATTGTCAATAATTTCCATGGCAGTAGGCATAAATAAAAATAAATTATTCCCAACAGCACCGAATTCAGTGCTTTCTATTACTGTACTGTATAGCAATAAGTTTTGCTCTTATTTTCATTTATGACTGCAGTACAGAGGGTCCCCGATTTACGAACGTCCGACTTACGAACGCCTGCCGATACGAACGAGGTTGAACTATAAATTTACAGTACGCACTGTATTTCATTACTTGATGACTTATTTTTGACTTTTATTCACTGCATTTAGTCATTCTATTTCTTCTTTTCTCTTAAATAAGTTATTTTAGATGTATATAAGGACTTAAGCTTTGATATAGTGGGACTTTAAACATTGTTCTGTAAGTACGGTTTGCACATAGCATGTGTTTCGACAACCCAGGGACCCCCTGTACAGTAATAATACAAATTAACGAATATTACATGGTGTTTACAATTATGTGTTGTATTGTACTAAAGAAATTGTGCAGTTACCCAAATACCCAATATCATATTTTTTTTAGTTAGCAAAATTTGAAAAGAATAAACACAATTAGGTAAGTTATGTTACAATATGCAAAATATTTCTAAAAATTGCTAATTTAACTAATTGTAAAATAATGCATAGGTAGTCAGTTTTGATGACAAGTGACCTAACACCAGGTAGCTATACATTTTTCCTCTGCAATGGCGACATCACGACGGTCTTACCTGAGTCAGCTAGCCAGGCTTAGCCGCCAGAGGAATTGTCAAAAGTACCAGCTTACTGCAAGTGTCCATTGTGGAAACGTTAAAGAACACACAGTTCACTAAAAACTTGTAATATCATATGCATATATTGTGAACAAGGATTGCAGAAAAAAGCATTTCTCACTTTCCAGGGGAGGTGCTAATGCACTCCCTTGAGGGAGCTAGTAACCAGGCATGTTATGATTCCTCCACAAATGCAATCAATTACAATTACCTTACAAATCCATGATTACAATTCCTTACAAAAGTAATATACAGTAATCAATTACAATTACATTAAAAACTGTAATCATGATTCCTATGATTCCAAATCAGATAACTAAAAGAAAACAATACATAATCACAATCATGACCGAATGAGAGAACATATAAATAAAAAATTGGTACCTATTTATTGAAGACTTTATTAATACGAAAAAATACCAAATATTTCCACTTCTTGCATTTTCTACAATTTTTCCATGTAAGAATTTAAAAAAATTTTAATTTCAGGCCATAATAGTTTTCACATACAGTGGTCCCTCGGTTAACGAGCGCCTCGGTTAACGAGATTTCGGTTAACGATTTACCTTCCATAAGATTCTTAACTTCGGTTAACGAGCAATCCCTCGATTAACCAGTTTTTTACGAGCCGACCTCAACATGTTTTCGCTTACATTTGGCGGTCCACCAGCTGTAGTATTAGTCCGCCAATACAGTAATCGGTTTTAGGGCTTAAATTCCTTACTATTTTAGTAAATATCAATAAGTTTATACTATTCAATAATTTTAAAAGTTTAATATTAACTTTTTTAGTCATTTTAACAATTATTGAACATAATTGAAGGTAAAGAAACTAGTTTCTGGCGTGCCATCCAGCCTGTTAACACACCAGACAGGTGTTAGTCTCTCTCTGTTTTCAGTGGAGGTAACATCTTGCTTGAGACTCTCTTCAACTAAATGCTTTTTTTCTGTGTTTCCAAGCAAATTATTGGTCATTTTGAAATATATTTTACATATTGACAATATATAATGCAGTGCAGTGTTGATTTAAAGAAAATAATCTTGAAATACACCAAGAGAACTAAAATTTTATGGGTGAAATGGTGCCATGGGGTGACTTCTCTTCCACCCCAATGCCTTCTCTTCTTCCTTCTCCTCCACCCCCATTATAATTCCCATCATCATCATCCAGGAGCCTTCTACATACACACCTCAAAGTAAGTGTACTTTTCTACCTTTTTTGTTGAATTTAGGCAATTTTCGGTGAGCTGGAACCAATTACCCAAAAACCCATTGAAACAATGGTTTCGGTTAACGAGCAATCTGCTGGAACGGATTGTGCTCGTTAACCGAGGGACCACTGTACTGTATCATAGGTCTGAGAACGTAATAAAGGAAGAAACTGCAGAAGGCCTATTGGCCCATACTTGGCAGCCCCATTTACACACAACCCATATCACTCATATATCTATCCAACCTACAGCATATTTGAAGCTTCCCTGCATGTTCGAGTTAACAATGGTACAGGTATTTGGTAACTTGTTCCACTCATGCTCTATAATTTTATACAACAGCACATAATTTTATACTAGTGTTTACCTATATTTAATCTAACTTTGACTAATTTAAAACCATTGCCACGAGTCCATTCCTGGTTGAATAGTTTAAGTACCTTTGTTATACTGTATCACCTTTGTTTAAACCTGACTTCCATTTATACAGCTACTCCTCAACTTACGACATACTCGACCTACGACCACCCGCACATGCGACCTGCCTCAGTTGGTATGACCATCCACAAGCAGTTGGTACCAAAAAATTTTCAAATGACACGCGTATTTTCTAGACCGAAACGTTTCTGCCCCGTACGAGAGTGTCGCGTGGGCTGGGTCGCCTCGTGGTTACAGCACCCATGCCGTAGAGCGCTTAGTTGGTGTTTGGCTGTCATTGTTGTCGATAGTGATTGCGCTGTGTACTGACATTATTTTCATATCTAATTCGCTTTAGAATGACTGGCAAGCATAGAAGTGAGAGTGCTGGTGGTGCTCAGAAGAAAAGGAGACAGTCAATTACTTTTGGGAAGAAAATGAAGATAATAATACAGTATGAAAATGGAAAAACGGTAGCAACCTAGGCTTCTCGCACTCGACCATATCGACTATTTTGAAGGACAAGGAACGTATTCGTGAGGTAGTGAAAGGATCAGCACCTATAAAGGGAACTATAATAACAAAGAAAAGACAAGGTCCTATTCATGAGATGGAAAAATTACTTGTGATTGTAGGTTATGTATCTAAGCTACTGTGCCGAGTAGCAACCTTGTGTATAAGCTACTGTGCCGAGTAGCACTTATGTATATAATTACGTGGCAACATTGCACGTCGCAGCGAAACACAGCGCAACACAACACACTAAGAGTCGACTCGCACATCGCCGGCTAACTGTCCATTGTTCACACACTTGTAAGTCCACAGATTCTACTCACTGCGCCATGAAGGTTCCAAGTGTTCCCTGAAGAAGGCAGTGATGGGTAGGGAAACACCGGGTAACACTGAAGTCCATTTATTCGGATAGGAGAAATACAAGCGGTGACTAGCGTGTGCCATGCACGGCTCACGAAGTCAGACTGAGACTGCCCTGCCATATGGCAGCCTCGGGGCAATGTTGCCATATAACTCGTGCAGTGTTGCCACGTAATTATATACATAAGTGCTACTCGGCACAGTAGCTTATATACAAGGTTGCTACTTGGCACAGTAGCTTAGATACATAACCTACAGTGATCTGATGGAAGATCAGATACAAAAGCGTGTACCCTTAAGCCTTCTAACCCTACAGGCTAAGGAAAGAAGCCTTTTCGAAAGCCTGAAGGAGCAGGCAGGAGATGAGTGCGACCAAACCTTCACAGCAAGTCATGGGTGGTTCCAAAGGTTTAAGAACCGCTACAGTTTGCATAGTGTAAAGGTGAGTGGAGAGGCAGCAAGTGCTGATGTGGGCGCTGCCGAAGCTTTTAAAGAGGAGCTAGAGCGTGTCATCGTGGAGGGAAATTATTTGCCTGAGCAAATATTTAATGCGGATGAAACTGGCTTATTATGGAAGCGCATGCCAGAACGGACATACATCCACAAAGAGGCTAAAACAATGCCGGGATTCAAGGGACCTGTTAAGGTATCTAGTGAAAATTATGTGTTTCCAAAAAATGGTGAAAACCAACACTTTTCAGACGACTTTTACATGCTAAGATTGACAAATGGGGAAATATATGAAAGATGTTATAACATAGTAAATTATATAATACAGTACTTGGCATAGTAATAGTATGATTGGGGAATTAACAAAATGTATATTACAGTATGTAACAATAAGAATAAATTTTAACTATATATATATATATATATATATATATATATATATATATATATATATATATATATATATATATATATATATATATATATATATATATATATATATATATATATATATATATATATATATATATATATATATATATATATGTAAATCACAATGAAAAATGGATAAGATATATATCTTTATTCTGCTGATGTGATAAGTTTATATATATATATATATATATATATATATATATATATATATATATATATATATATATATATATATATATATATATATATATATATATATATATATATATATATATATATATATATATATATATATATATATATATATATATATATATATATATATATATATATATATATATATATATATATATATATATATATATATATATATATATATATATATATATATATATTAAGAATGCAAAGGGGCCCCGCAGTGGATGAATTACCCTGGCCCCATACCCCTCCCTAGGGATGGCTTTGCTTACAATCCTCAGGAATGTAACTCGTTCATAAGAAGAGGAACACTTGTATGTATAATGTTCACATAGGTCAGGTGGTCCATTTGTGATAGTAGCCAGGCTTCGATTTTTCCATAAAAAATGCGTTTTTCCTGTGGTTCTTGTTGTGATTCGAATGAATCTGACCTTCGTTTGTTGCTAACCGCCCTCACCTAAGCTAACCAAAACCTGGCTACTAGCCCTAAATTGACTGGTCAGGTGTGGTCAGGCTACGTCAGGCGTGGTCAGCCTTTGTCAGGCTAGATCTGGTGTGATAAAATTATCGTTTTGGTCATCCACCTATTTGGAAGCATGTCAGAATCGTTCACACACATCAAGAACCATTGGAAAAACATACTTTCAACCTAACCTAAACCTCTCTCGGACGGTGGTAACGTAACTTAAAATCCTTAAATTCGTTGGATGACCGAAACGATATCTCTGGGATGGTCAGGGTAGGTCAGGTATGGTCAGGGTAGGTCAGGTGTGGTCAGGGTAGGTCAGGTGTGGTCTGGGTAGGTCAGGTGTGGTCAGGGTAGGTCAGGTATGGTCAGGGTAGGTCAGGTGTGGTCAGGGTAGGTCAGGTATGGGCAGGGTAGGTCAGGTATGGTCAGGGTAGGTCAGGTGTGGTCAGGGTAGGTCAGGTATGGTCAGGGTAGGTCAGGGTAGGTCAGGTGTGGTCAGGGTAGGTCAGGTGTGGTCAGGGTAGGTCAGGTGTGGTCAGGGTAGGTCAGGTGTGGACAGGATAGGTCAGGTTACGTCAGCTTTTGTCAGGAGTGGTCACGCTGGGTTTGGTCTAGTGTAACTCGTTAAGGCATCGTTTCAAACAATCAACACAGTGTATGGTATCAGAACTAAATACAAGACACCAACCACTTGAAACATTGACTCATAAATGAGGATGGAGGTCAAATTCTATGTCTATTTTAGCTATAAAACGAATAACAATAACGAGAGGATATAAGGTCCCTCAAAACACAAGTTCTTATGAGCCATGTCAAAGAAGACCTTATTAAACATGCCTCTATCTCCTTAATGAAGAATATAAGCATTAAATTATTCCAACTAACATCTTAAAATATCCTTCATGTATCATACCTCTGAAGGAAATGTACTTGATAATTTACCAAAGAGCGATAAGTTAGTTTATATGGGAATAACACGCGTTACACCCTCCGTCTCTCACTAACAATAACAAACACCGGTGTTGTCTCTCCCTCAGCTGATACCTCACACATACACCTTTTATAACTATGTCTACTTTAACTTAAATAAATAATCATATATGCGTAATTTTGATAAATGTAATACTATTTATAATAATGAAATAATGTACGTATATGAATTAATAATATGTACCTTAAAATTAAGAGAACTATAAAAAATGATTGTTTCTAAAGGTATAATTAGTTATTCACTAAATTCAAAGTAAGTTTCCCTCTGGTCATTATTACAACAGCATGGAATTATCTGTTAATGGACTTTTTTTTAAGAATATGACCTATTTAGCTTACTTGCTTCAATAAAAATAATATAATAGAAATTCGCAATTGGTTACAGGAATAGTTTTACACGCCAAGTTCCATTACAAAGAAGACAAAAACTTCGTCTCGTTTCATTTGTGTTATATTTAAGACATTGCTTCTTGTAAAAATATGACATACAGTAGATAGTACAGTGGCAGTGCTTGCATCTTTTCACTACTTCACGAATTCAGTTTTAGGCCCGGGTTGGATGTCAGAAGGGTATTACCGTGTTACCTATGTGACTTACAAAATACTATGGGAAGTTTTCTCCAAGGTTTGAAGTAAGTAATGTACAGTACATAGAAAGATAAGTAGTAATCGTAGCACCACTTCCATAGAGCTCTGTTTACGTTTTCTTGTGCTATTTAATGTTGCATTGGCATAAAAATATGTAACTGATTTTGTTTTGATTGAACTGCGCAAAACATTTTCAGCACAGCACAATCTGACTGAGACCGTGACACTGGTCATTTAAGTGGCGCACTGTTACAAGAAGAACATAAGGAGTCTGCAATAGGCTTGTAGTGGATACTCTCCCCTACAACTGCCACTGCCGTTTGTCGCTGACCAGCCGATCCCTGTTAGAGTTTCCCAGCCAAGCCTCGTCGTCTGACAGAGCGGGTTCGGCTATCAGCAACGTTTACTTCCGGCGGACCTCTTCTATAAGCTCCTAGCCTCGCCGTGAAGTCCATGAATCTGGAGCAAACTTGAAGAGCGGAAGGACCCAATATTCTCCCAGTTAAAAGGAGTAACTTCTAAAATGCACAGTTAGTGGCCCAAGAGCCTCCATGCTAACATAGAACAAGACCCACTTTACACATGTATGTGAACAAATAACACCACCATCTAACAAACATAAATTAACACCCATTACACTAATGAATGCCTCGCTAGCTAAGCTCCCCCCCCCCCTTCCACCTGCCTCCCTTGAGCGGGCGGGCCTCTGCTGTGTGGCCACCACCCCAATTTATCAACTCGTTTCAGCTAGGTGGACAGCCCACCTGCTATCACTATTACTTTTATCCTCTTAAACACTGATTGGCTCGTTAGCCGCTTGGGCGATCAGTCACGTCTCTGATTACTTTTCCTTTTCATTTATCCTCTTCACCAAAAGATTGGCTCGCTAGCCGCCCGGGCGATCGGTCACGTCTCTGTCACGCACTGGCAAGTACTGGGCATGCACCGGCTCCTGAATGTATACCTGATTTTTATGGAAGTGGAAAGATATGATACACATATAAGATGTATTAAACTTTATGTAATTTTCACGAAGAGATGATCATATAAATTTTCAGTTCAACAATAAGTTTTCAAAATGTCTCCCATAAGCTCGGCTGAGGAAAATACCGATTTGTAAAGGAACAATTTACACCAAATTACTCATGCATTTCCTATTTATTTTTATTATTACAATCGTATACCTGTATTAAATCTTTTCAATACTGTAATAAACACACAAGGTGATATTAAAGAGGCGAGTTAACATGCACTGTACAGTATACTGTATAAATGCACAAGTTACAAGACTCGGTACCAGGTATATTAACGGGCAATGTTCAGTGGATTTGGCATCCTGTGTACCGCTGGGCTCGTATCACTCGTCTTGCCCACCGTGTGTGTGGATGTCGGCACTAGAATATAACCCTTTATAGTGCACCTTCTTTCCTCACACAGCTATACTGTGTAATGCTCTGCCTTCTGCGTTTCCATACTCTTACTATCTTCCTCACTTCAATAAGCTGGTCTTCCGGCATCTGCGTGGTATATATTGTTTATATTTTTCTCTTCTATATTTAATTTATTTATATTCTTATCCCCCCCCCATGGCCTCGTTGTGGGTCGATGACCTATGCCTGGTTGCGCTATTCACCGTGAAAAAATTGAGTTAAAAGCCTTTTTTGGTAGTTAATTAAAAAAATAGTAAATAAAAAATCCTAGTAAATAAAGATGTTTAATAAAAATAGCCGGATGCTGTGGCAAATAAAATCCTTGAAAAAGGCAGGCAAATAGGCACTTGTAGTGGACGACTCCCCTACAAACTAACTGCGTAGCAGCCCACCACCTGCTATCACATTCCAATGTGCCGCCTTCCCTAGCAACCAACCAGATGTTACCGTATCTTAGCAACGAAACTAGTCACCGGCTACTTCTCGGGTTTTCCCACCATGACTCATAGCGGCTGCTGCGGGGTATATAAGCTCTGTCTCTCCATTGAGATTCAGTCTGACCAATCTTCTTGAACAAGCAACACTTCCTCCTCTGCCGCTGCCTGGCGACCCTCGCCTCTCCTCCGCCTGCCTGGCGGTCCCTCGCTCCAGTTGTATTTCAGCGATCGGCTCATCACGCCATCGCCGTTGTCTCACATGAGGCATGCACCGCCCGGTCTTCCTCACATGTGCTAAGCAACTCTACAATCAACAAGTCTCCTACACCGCCTGGAGGGGAGGGGGAGTATTGTAGTGGACGACTCCCCTACAAACTAACTGCGTAGCAGCCCACCACCTGCTATCACATTCCAATGTGCCGCCTTCCCTAGCAACCAACCAGATGTTACTGTATCTTAGCAACGAAACTAGTCACCGGCTACTTCTCGGGTTTTCCCACCATGACTCATAGCGGCTGCTGCGGGGTATATAAGCTCTGTCTCTCCATTGAGATTCAGTCTGACCAATCTTCTTGAACAAGCAACACCTCCTCCTCTGCCGCTGCCTGGCGACCCTCGCCTCTCCTCCGCCTGCCTGGCGGTCCTCGCTCCCGCCAGCAAGCATGTCCTTCTCTGAGCTTCCTCACCAACCAACTCTCATTCTGCCCATTTTCCTGAACAAGCAACATCTCCTCCAGCAAGCTCCACACTGTTAACATTTCATTCAACCAGGAGGCCAGCAACAGGCAACATCTTATCTAACGAAGCTCCTGCACATCTACCTCCTTCAACAAGCTACTCACCGCACGTCTCTACCAAGCAGCCCCTCACCACACAGCACCTCCAGCACCAGACTGTCTATCATATAACTTATATATTATACAAGAAAACCACATTAGAGTTTCCTTCCATCCTGAGTGCTAGACAACATTAATATCTCGATACCCCTACACACTAAACTATTCAAATATAGGCAACCAACCATTTTATTTTTAAAATGCAAAATTATTCTATACCCTTTGAAACTTTTATTTTGTACATTATGCCTTTCAATTTTTGCCATTCTTCTTCTAAGCGAGAAACAAACAAACGTCGTGTGAATGGTAGAAAAAAGGTAAATACATTTTCACTACACATGTCCCTTAACAGAAAAAAAAATAAATACATTTTCACTACACATGACCCTTAACAGATATACCCGTTTGTTAACATATACAGTACCAATAAAGTATCAGTTGCATGGTTACACGAAGTTATGAAAAAAGTAGGTAAGTACTGGTAGGCTTTATTCAACATAAATGAAATCTCGCACACTAAAAGTATGTATACAGCCACATTACCTTCCTTCCTCCCATACAATCGTACTAATTGCAGATAAATAATTTATTCCTTATTGACAAATAACAGAAAACACTAAAATAAGCATTGTAGGCATAATTCAACAAAATGGGTTAATTATTCAACAAAATAGGCAAATATGGGCATTTATCGCATTTTGCCTAACATCCGGGCTCTAATAACAAGTAAAAGCACTTTTTGTAATAACCAAAAATATTGGGTAGTAACAAACACTTTTCGTATTAAACAATAAAAAAATTAAGTAAACATTTTCTTTGGTTAATTAAAACATCTTCTGATACGTAAAATCACTTTTAGTAATTAAAAACTTTTGGCAATTAATAACAAATTACTTTTTTATAATACAACCAGAACTGAAACAAAAACTTTTGATAGTTCAGGTAATTGACACTTACCGTAATGTAACAAAACATCATTTGTGGTTGTGACAAAAAAAAAACAGGCGTTACCGACACATCCATAAGTCACAATCGTTACTGACACACACCCATAGTTAACAGGTGTTACTGACACACCCATAACTCACAGGTGTTACTGACACACACCCATAGTTGACAGTGTTACCGACACACACCCATAACTCTCACACACACACATAGTTCACAGGTGTTGACACACCCATACTTCACAAGTATTAATGATACACCCATACTTCACAGGTGTTACTGACAAACACCCTCATACTCCACAGGTGATACTGATACACACCCATAATTCACAGATGTTACCGACATACACACCCATGCTTCACAGGTGTTACCAACATACACACACCCATACTTCACAGGTGTTACTAGCACACACATACCGATAGTTAACAGGTGTTATTGACCGAGACACAGACAGTTCACAAGGTTAAGTGTGACACAATAAACATTAATTTGGTTCTTGTTGTAATTAATAGTAAACTTACAAAAAAATATCACATCACCACAGATGATGGGAGTGTTGGTACTTAACACTATACTGTAGGTTTTCCAAGGTCCGACTATAACAGTGTACCTCAACAATTATACTGTCGCCTCCCCTTATTACGCTTAGCTAGAACGAGCATCATGGTTGCCTCAGCGTCGCCCCGGCACTTGTAGGCAAAGTTGGAAGTCTTGCCAAGACCTAGGTGCCTTTCCTTCAAGAAAGACAGTGAGTTGCGTATAGGAAGCCCCTTTGGGTGAGGATACAGGATGCTGGTGTCCACCACGTGGTCATGTATAACTTTTAGCCGCATAAGGTCGTGATCCAGTCCGTGACCGACCAGGATGGAGTGACTACCGAACAGCGTCAGCAACTTTTTATGGACGTCGTGTAGTTGCGTCGTGACTTTCCTGAACTGTTGCTCAGTGAGCCCCGATAATTTTGTGTTGTAGTCCACTATGGGAGCGTCAGGTTTAACCAGTGTCTCATACACCAGCCGACGCTTCCAATCCACAACAGAGATAGCGGCAACATCCATTCCGTCTGTCGTGTAGACCATCTCACAGTCCAGGGCGTATATACCAATTGTATTAACACTACTGTCGCGTCCCGTGTGGATGTAACCTGTTAAATTATCAGGGTCTATTTCTTCCGTAACGTGATGCTCGGCAGTGGTGCAGGGTTCGGAGTAGCGTGGTCGCTTACAGCAGTAGTAGTAGGGCGATAATGTCCTTGACAGTTTACCCCAGTGGTGTGCACACGTCTCTTGTATTATGTGATGACCGTGTTTGTCAATGTGGTACACTTTCCCGCAGCGCTTACAGGTGCGGGTGAGGGGACCTGGCATCACATTGTTGTAGCTCTTGTTGATGTTGAAGAGCTGACATTTTTTGGACTGCGAGTGAGGGCGTGGGTAACAAAAGCGGCGAAGTTCAGCTTCAGACAACTCCAGCTGCTTCACACTGTCATACAACACCTTGTCCATCTCCTGTGTCATCTCGCTGCCTTGATGTTCACACCTTCAACTGAAAATGTTAAGAAACATTGTTATATGTACCGGCATGTAAAAATTAAATTGAACATTATATTATAGGCTATTATAAGTTAAAAGGCATATGAAAAATAAACACATTATGGAAATTTTTGTCAAGTACAGTTAATACAGAAAATTAGAACAAAGGTAAAAATATAAGATTAAAAAAATTGAAGAGAAACTGTGCTAGATAGTTCAGTCTGTGTTTCAATGTTCGTCAAGTCTACAATAGAAAACGGACATCCCCCTAAAGGCATAATACAGTACAACAATAATATTATAGTTATTACCAGAAGTTTATAAAATTAGTTAACACCATTAAGAAGTAATAAATATGGTTCCCCTTTTCCCCCAGAGATGTTGTTTGGATAATAATAATAATTATAAGTAATAAAAACGATACAAGATTCTTAGATTCTCATTTAATTGTAAGGTAAACACGGATATTTGGCCGTCTTATGATGTCTCTAGGTGCTTTGTGGGCGAAGAAATAAATTGTTTAGTAAGAGAGCATCGTAAGAGATGCCATGATGGAACATCTGCTACGAAACAACCTTGTACAGTATACGAATGCCAACACGGTTTTATGCCGGAAGATCCTGCTTTACACAATTACTCAAGGTGCTAGATGCTTAGACTCAAATTCTAGAACAAGGTGACAATATCAACAATATATACTCAGATTTTGCCAAGGCTTTCGACAGCTACCCCTTGAAAGGCTGAGAATCAAAATGGAAGGGTACGGGATTCGGAGAAGTGTCCTAGTGTGGAGCGGAGACTTTCTGCATGGCCGGAAACAGTGTGTGGTGATAAATGGTACATGTGTACCGTCACAAGCGGGGTACCACAGCAGGGCCGCCGCTTCCATTAAGGGAGGTTAACAAATGCTAAGGGCGCCAACAGATACAGTGTCACCACCACAGCTCCTTTCTACACAGCCAACATACAGTGTCACCACCACAGCTCCATTCTTCACAGCCAACAGATACAGTGTCACCACCACAGCTCGCCAATACAGTGCTACAGCCAACATACAGTGTCACCACCACAGCTCGTACTGCACCACCACAGCTCGAATGTGACCCCACTGACTGGCCATCCTCAATGTCCAACCAGGAAAAAGCAGAACTTGTTCGCAGAGGACCTCACCAGGTTGATACTAATTATGTGTTTCCAAAAAAAGGATGGTTGAAGATGTCAACATGATTACTTTCGCCGAATCTTATTAAAATAAATCAGTGCAAGGTAAACAGTTTCTTCAATATGGTACCTTGATTACTTTGTGGGCAAACTCAATCGTGAAGTGGAAGGCGGGTGGGGGAGCCAGCTGCACTCCTGCTAAGGGCGCCAAATAGGCTGGCGCCGGCCCTGTACCACAGTACAGTGTATTGGGCCCGTTGTTGTTTGTCTGCTTCATAAATGATATTCCAGAAGCTATACACTCCTCCATACAAATGTTTGCGGACGATGCCAAGTTATTTAGGGAAATTAAGAACCAAATAGATTGTGAAGAGCTGCAGAAAGATCTCTTTGCACTTCATGAATGGTCGAGGAAATGAATACCAAGATTCAACGTCACAAAGTGCAAAAGGAAGCACCTGGGTCGCACCGATAGTAAGGTGTATCACATGTCCCAACAGGACGCAGATACTGCATTAATTGAGACCGAATGTGAAATGGACCTGGGTGTATGTCGACAATGAACTGAAGTTCTCGGGCCATTGTGAGAAGGTGAATCAGGCAACGAAACTAGTAGGTCTTATAAGATCGTTTACATATCTGGATGGTCCGTCGCTCGTCAAGATGATCTTAAGTAAGCGTCTGGAGTATTGTCACCACGTCTGGTCCCCGAGGTATGCTAGAGACTGTCAACTGATTGAAAATGTCCAAAGGTGGCCACCAGACTGGTGCCTGCTTTATGGAACCTCAGCTACCCAGAGATTAAAATACCTGCTTCGCCCGACCTAATCGAAGTGTATAAGCATATCAGGGGGCACTTCTCTGTCGAATGTACAGTACATTGTATACCCATACAGTCAAGGTACATTGTTTGTATACCCACACTGTCTAGGTACATTGAATAGTGCTCTGACCTCACTAGAGGAAAGGTCATGGCAGGCTTAGCTCCCGTTTATTAATTGTCGGTAATGGCTAGTGCTACTTGTGAACAGGGCTGTGCCCTGAGTTAGAGGGGGCCAAGGAAGAAACCTTGAAATTAAAGGATGTGATAGCGAGGATGAAGGAAGAAACGAGACAAGGAATGCCCGTGTCTGACGAAAACTCAGACGAATGGATGGTTGTGAGGAGAGGGACGACCAAACTGGTGGTGAAAAACACCAAGGATACGACAACAACAGCTAAGTGTACCAACTTTTTCAGTCCTTTGATAGACGAATTGGACATCAGCATAATCAGGGACAAAGCTGACAAAGGAAGGTACGAAAACCTTTATTGTTGGTGATTCCCAGGTACGGTACCTGGACAGAGCTTTTTGTGATAAAAATATAAATAGGATGAGGGTATGTTTGCCAGGAGCTGGGGTGGGGGATTAGTTGACAGGATGGACAATATCTTGTCTGGTAATGGGAACAAACCCATTATCTGCCTCAGTGCAGGAGGCAATGATATTGGCTTGTGTAGGAGTGAGGAGCTTCTTGATAAGTTCAAGACAGCTATAGAACGCATTAGGTCGAAGGGAGGGATCCCTAACATAAGTGGTGTCCTGACTAGTAGGAGAGTTGGCAATGAATGGTTGTCAAGGGCAGTTGAAGTCAACGGCCGTCTTGACATATTGCAAGTCAATATCAGTCCCATTCATTGATAACTGGGACAACTTTTACAGCAGAAGGGACCATAATACTAGGGATGGGGTACATTTGTCTAGTGATGGGATGGCAACCCTAGTTGGCTCTCTCGAGAGGGCAGTTCAAAAGATATCAAAATCTTTAAACTGCTAGGGGAATATGTGAGCGCAGGGATTGGGGAGACTTCAGTGGGAGCGGGTAAATGAAACGAAAAGGTTACAGTGAAGTAGTGCTAGGAATGATGACAAAACTAAATTAGGCAGGGAGTTAAATCCTAATCATAACAAAGAGAAGACTCAGAACACAACTAACTTCAGAAAACGATTAACTTAAATGACTACTACACTAACAGTAGAAGTATGAGAAATAAAATGGATGAATTCAGGGCGCTGGTATGTCCCGAAAAATTCGATATAATAGCATTCACAGAAACGTGGATAAACCTAGACTAGCGTGAGTTACCAGTCGAATACCAAATTGCAGGTTACAAATTATTCCATACCGATAGGCAGATTAGGAAAGGAAGCGGTGTTGCAATCTATGACAGGGATAATATGAAGTGTGAAACAAATAAGGAAATAAAAACCGAGCGGAATACAGAAACAATTTTGATAAAATTAATAGACGGTAGGGAAAAATTAGTCGCAGGAGTAATATATAGACTTCCTAATCTTGATTAAGAGTTAACGAGCGATTTATTTGGGATGAAATGCACAGGGCTTCCATACATAACAAAGTCTGTATAGTAGGCGACTTTAACTTTAGCCAAATAGATTGGATCGACCTTACAGGTAACTCAGAATCAGAGGATTTTCTTGAAACAATCCCACGCTAACATATAACTGAACCTATCTGGGGTAATAATATACTCGATTTAGTTCCGTCAAACAGAGAAAACCTCATTAGTAATGTCGTGATAGGGAACAAACTTGCCAACAGCGAACACAAGATACAAGATTTAAATTAGAAATTCAGGGCAGCTGCACGGAAAATTCCACTAAAGTCCAGGATTTCAGAAGGGCAAACTTTGATAATTTGAAGAGGCAGCTGAGAGAAGGGGCATCACGCTTGGGGGTGAATTACATGACATCACATGCGGTGACCTCACACAATGTTAAGTGAAAAGTAAGGCTCATGGTATCGAGGAGAAACTTTTAAATTGGATAAAATCATGGCTCACCAATAGAACACGCACAGGGTCAGCGTAGATTATGTTAAGTCTAAGTGGGGCTGTGTAACCAGTGGGGTTCCCCAGGGGTCAGTACTGGGCCCACTCTTGATCATAATCTACATAATCGATCTAGTTACTAAGATCAGCAGCAATGACGCTGCATATCAGTATATTGATTCTAAAACCAATCAGTTTTCCCAAATAGCCGTCCATTAACCAAGGTATCTCAGTCTCAGTTGAGTGTCCTTAAGCTGGCGGACGCTCGCCCCACAAGGGGTCACAGCTCAAGATTGAAGAAGCCGCAAGTCCGGAAAACCGTGAGGGCAAACTTTTTCGGAGTGAGGGTTGTAAACTCTTGGAGGTGTTGTGACGGCACCGAGTGTGAGCTCTTTCAAGAGAAGACTTGACCAACACTGGAGCGGGTTCAGGTACATTCAGGAGCCGGTGCATGCCCAGTATTTGCCAACAGTGCGTGACAGAGACGTGACCGATTAAACCTTTGGTGAAGAATATAAAGGAAAAGAGTCTGACCGATCGCCCAAGAACAAGCCGATCAGTGGCGAAGAGGATCACGTTTGCGGATGTCACCAAAATAGGGCGGCAGATTAATTCAGGGCAGAATGCAAATGCACTACAGGAGGATTTAAATAAACTGCAGGAGTGGTCAGAAAAATGGCAAATGAAAATCAACACCAGCAAGTGCAGCATACTTTATATTGGAAGAACAAATACTCAATGTATACAGCCTTAATATCAACCTAGAGTAGTCGACTTGTAAGCCAGGACCTACGGCCTAGAAAACAGCGCGTTAATGTTCAAAATAAGGCACACAGAGTATTAGGTTTTATATCTACAAGTGTAAGTAATAAGAGTGCGGAGTCATATTGCAACTATATCTTGTGCTAGTCAAGCCGCACCTAGATTATGCTGTTCAGTTCTGGTGCCCTTATTATAGAATGGATATCAATTCACTGGAGTCGGTGCATGGATGAATGACGAAAATGATTCTGGGACTTAAAAACCTTCCATTTCAAGATAGATTAAAGAAACTAAACTTGCATTCCCTAGAAAGACGAAGAGTGCAGGAAGATATGATAGAAGTATTTAAGTGGGTGAAAGGGATCAATAAAGGGGATATAGATAAAGTTATTATAATATCCGAGCAGGACAGAACTCGTAGCAACAGATTTAAGTTGGCTAAGTTTAGGTTTAGGAGGGAGATAGGCAGGAACTGGTTCACAAATAGGGTGGTGGACGAGTGGAACAAGCTTTGCAACAAGTGCTGGAATGCTGGAAAGTTTTAAAAGGAGGCTAGATAGATTCATGGATGATAGTGTGGTTGTAACTCTAGACAGGAGTTGCCATGCACAGGTCAACCGGCCTATTGCAGACTCCTTATTTTCTTATGTTCTTGTATAATGTACCCACAGAGGGCACCTTACCAGGAGACCTGACAGTTGAGGATGACGAGTTCCAAAAAAAATTTAATTAATAAGTTACTTAATGCACAAAGGCAGAACATACCATACAGAAAACTCAAATAAAAAAACAATGACCCTAAATGGATAAATAATTATTTAAAGAATATTAAGGAACAAAGAAAGGCTATAAGTAGAATAAATAGTGGTGAAATTTACCTCCGATATTACTTACAAGGTATTAGCCGGTAGGGTTTTAAGACCGAGATATGTAAAGCAAAGAGGAATAATGAAGGCGAAGTCAAACCCCAAGGGATTCTATTAAATGTATCAAACTAAAACACGAGAAAAAATTGAACTAATAGTCAGATACCGGCGAACTAACTGATGACGACCGAGCAATAATCAGAATAAATATATTTCAACAGTTTTCACCACGGAACATTTAAACATGATACCCGAGGCACCGACTCTATACCGAGATGTGTAGAAAATAAATTAAGCGAGTTAGAATAAATAGTGGTGAAGTTTACCTCCGAAATTATTATAAGGTATTGGCCGGTAGGGTTTTAAGACCGAGATAAGTAAAGCAAGGAGGAATAATGAACTGAAGGTAGCAAGGGAGGCGAAGTCAAACCCCAAGGGATTTTATTAAATGTATCAAACTAAATCACGAGAAAAGATTGGACCAACAGTCAGAAAACGGCGAACTAACTGCTAAAGACCGAGCAATAATCTGAATATATATTTTTCAACAGTTTTCACCACCGAACATTTAAACATGATACCCGAGGCACCGAATCTATACAGAGATGTGAAGAAAATAAATTAAGCGAGATAGTAGTGACGAGTAACGATGTTGGTAAGCAAATGGACAAACTAAAGCCTAATAAGTCACCAGGTCCCGATGAGATATTTGCCAGAATATTAAAGGAATGTAAAAAAGAGCTTAGTATACCTTTAGCAAAAATGTTTAGCATGTCTTTAAAAACTGGTGAAGTACCAGAATCCTGGAGGATAGCGAATGTAATACAGATTTTCAAAAAGGGGGGATAGATAACTATCCTATTACTACCGTCCAATCAGTCTAACATCAATTGTAGGCAAATTACTGGAAGCAATCACTTCAAACTCTATTCGAAATCACCTGGAGAAGCACAAGTTTATCAATGATTCCCAACATGGCTTCACAAGCGGGCGTTCATGTCTTAACTAATCTATTAACATTCTTTTCATCTCTTTTTCGAATCAGTGGACGAGAGGCACAATTATATGGCATATCTCGACTTTAGCAAAGCCCTCGACAGAGTCCCCCACGAAAGACTAATAAGAAAAGTGGAGGCTCATGGCATTAAGGGAGATATTCTAAAATAATTTAGGGCGTGGTTCGAGGACGGGTAACAGCGAGTGGGCATTAACGGCACTAAATCCGATTGGAACAAAGTCACAAGTGGAATTCTCCACGGCTCAGTACTTGGACCATTATTATTTATTTTATACATAAACAACATAGATATCAACATCGCCAGGTTGCTTTACTCTTTCTCTTTTACAGGTACTTTAACGGGCAATGTTCGGTGGATTTGGCATCCTGTGTACCGCTGGCAAGGCTGTGGGCTCGTAACACACTTCTTGCCCGCGGTGCCCACCGTTTCTCTGCGGATGTCGGTCACACGAGAATAACCCGTTATAGGGGTCCGACTAATTAACCAAATGTAGCCAAATATAGCCGGAATGAAGTCAAATAATGGTCCTAGATGAATAAATTGGACTGCCAATCACTTCTCGACTAGTATTTGGTGTCAAAGTCACAAAAAATTGGAAAACTTACTTTAATCTGAGTTAATAGATCGCGTGCATGTACCGAGGAATTACCCAAATGTACCCAAATGTAGTCGCAATGAAGTCAAATAATGATCCTAGATGAATAAATCGGACTGCCAATCACTTCTCGACTAGTATTTGGTGTCACAGTCACAAAAAATTGGTAAACTTAATTTAATCTGAGTTAATAGATCGAGTGCATGTACCTAACCTAACCTTGACTAGTATTTGGTGTCACGAAGTCGCAAAAAATTAGTAAACTTAATTTAATCTGAGTAAATAGATCAAGTGCATGTATCTAACACAACACAACTCAGATTAAATTAAGTTTACCAATTTTGTTTGACTTTATGACACCAAATAATAATAGAGAAGTGATTCACAGCCCGAATTACGCTTGTACGACCATCATTTGACTTCATTGCGGCTACATTTGGGTAATTCCTCGCTCCCTCGGTACATGCACGCGATCTATTAACTCAGATTAAAGTAACTTTTCCATTTTTTTGTGACTTTCTGACACCAAATACTAGTCGAGAAGTGATTGGCAGTCCGATTTATTCATCTAGGACCATTATTTGACTTCATTGCGACTACATTTGGGTACATTTGGGTAATTAGTCGGACCGCGTTATAGTACCTCCTTTCCTCACAGCCAAACTGTGGAATGCTCTGTCTTCTTCTGTTTCCATACTTATACAATCTGTCTCACTTTAAGATGCTGGTTTTCCGGCATCTTCGTGGTGTACATTAACACAGTATAACCTTTTACCTCTCTATTTTCAATTTCTTTCAGTTCTTATTCCCCAGGCCCCGTAGTGGGTTGTTTGACCTGTGCCCGGGTGGGCTAATTCCCGTAAAAATTAGAAAAAAGAAATTTGCTGGCAACACTAACATAGGGCGTGTAATTAAAACTGACGTGGACTCAGCAAACTACAGGAAGATCTAAAAAAAAATTTCGAATTGTCTGAAAAATGGCAGATGAAATTCAATGTGGACAAATGTAAAGTACTCAGTATAAGGTTACCGTATTACAGAACGGATATAGAATCCTTGGAAGGAATTCAGAGGAAAATGACAAGACTAATCCCGGGCATTAGGAACCTCGAGTACAGAAGCAGATTAAAGCATCTTAATTTGCACTCCCTCGTGATACGTAGTGAGGGGCGATATGATAAGCGGTGTATAAATGGAAGTCAGGGCTAAGTAAAGGGGACATCGCAAAGGTACTCAAATTATCCAACCAGGAACAAACTCGTAATAATGGTTTTAAATTAGACAAACTTAGATTTAGGCGCGAAATAGGTAAATATTGGTTTGGAAATAGAGTAGTGGACGAGTGGAAAAATTGACCAAACATCAACTCGAATATGCTGGATAGCTTCAAACAATAGTTGGATGGATATATGAGCAAAAGGGGTTGGGTGTAAATGCCTGTAGGCCCGCTGCAGTTTCCTCCATACTTAGTGTTTCTGGTGTATAACCACATTGTCTAGGTACGTTGTAAACTCTATACCTACACACTTTCTAGTTACATTGTTGGCATACCCGCGTTGTCTATATACACGCTGAACCAAATGCAAACTTGTAAAGCAATTTAAAGAATATTAAAAAAAAAATCCATACCTGCTGTTAGTGCTTGAGGGGTGATGTTGCGCGTACTGCTCTCAGCCGCTGAATGACTATGATTCTGTGACTGGACCCTGGAGGTTCGTTCGGTGCTTGTTGTCACGTTCTATACTGGTATGAGACGACGGAAAAGCGTCACTGCGCGGTTGGCCAACATCTACAACAGAAAAATATGTTTATGAACCGTGTACCGAACTGGGCTAATATTCCACAAACTCTGGCAAACGAGCCGATAACTAGGGCGGTAATATTCCACCAGTTTTTGTTGCCGATTATGATGATAATGATTTTGACAAAGTAAAGCACAATAAACTTATAGAAATCTTGGAAAAAATAGACATTAATGAAGGAGGCTGCAGTGTTATTAAATAATGAACTAAATAATTGGTTCGTAGTCAGACAAGGAGTGTCCAATATTGTATAATATATATTCAGAATTCTTAATGAGAGAAGTTATACGTGATAATGAAGGGCTAAAAATTAATGGTAAAGTTATATAAAAAAATACGCTATGTAGATGATACTGTTCTTATCGCAGATAGTGAAGAGGCATTACAAAAACTATGTAGATGATACTGCTCTTATCGCAGATTGTGAAGAGGCATTAGTGGAAAAGATTAGTGGAAAAAGGTGAAAACTATGGGTTAAATGTTAATGCTGCAAAGACGAAAGAAATGGTTGTTTCCAAATTGCAAATAAATCCTAAAATATAAATTATGGTCGGCAACAGGAAACATAAACGTTTGGTATTTGGTACGTAATACTAGCTGTGATGGTAGATGTGCGGAAGAAATCAAAACAAGAATAGGACAAGCAAAAACAGCATTTAATAATCTAAAAGACCAAATAAAAAGAGACATTAACTTCAGTTTGAGAAAAAGTCTGCTGAAAGGCTTTATATGGCAAGGACTATTTTATGGGTCATGTGCGTGGACACGTTATTCATCAGACACCAGAAAGAGGTTAGAGGCCTTTGAAATGTGGTATCATAGGCGAATGCTAAGAATAAGCTACATTGGCAATGAAACAGATAAAGAAGTACTAAGATTAGCAGAAACTTCAAGAGAAATACTTGAAATGTATGGAAGAAAAAATATATATTTTGGTCATATAATTATGGATGAAGGGATAATAACAGAAATATTAGTGGGCAAAGTTGAGAGTAGGAGGGCCAGGGAAGGCAAAGACCGGGGGTGGATGGATGAAATAAAAGAATGCACTGGGTTCCTAAACAAATACACAGCCCTAGAACGCTTAGAGTGGAAGACTGTGGTCGCCAACCCTTAGATATGAAGACGGTAATTTGATTAATTTATTGGTGGTGATAATAGCTATATATCTTGGGGAAATCCGGTCTTTATATATTTTTCATTGAAAATCGATTGTTTCTGGTAACGGTGACATGAAGAGTTGGCATCGGTTGCAATCAGCGCTGGAGGTTCGGGGCAATAATGTTTCACAATTTTATAACGTGACGGAAAGCCATCTATTTCAGCTAAAGACCATTTAGTTTTCATTTCCCACTCAATCAATGCCTTCCTTTAAAACTTAATCTTGATTTTTGGCGATTCTTTCCCAAGCGGCTAACGAGCCGATCAGTGGTGAAGAGAATAAAAGAAAAAAAATAATGTGCGCGTCCATTCCTCGGCTCAGCCATGGCTTGTAAATACATGTACAGCGAAGGGTGTAGTCAGTTAAGTAAAAATAATTCAAAATTATTTAGATGGGGACAAAAAAGCGTTGGAATTTTTGGGGGTAATTATTCAGCAAACATCGGTAAACGATTTAGGTAGTTACCAATACCCTTACCACGTTTAAACTTAAAAAAAAAAGAAGAGAACACTGCAGAGAGGGCCTACGTATGTAATTAGTACAATACGTCGTCATTTGAGTGGCAACCGTCTGCAAAATTTACACAAACGCTGGTACCGACAGAGGGCCTCTGTTAGTACCGCATGAATTTCGTCTGGTGGCACATCAAGCCGCTGTCATGCTGTGCCCTTTTGAAATTTTGTTGTTGTTGAAGACAAGGATTCTAACACTGTACTTGTAGAAGATCAATACAATCAATGGAGCTGAATGATATTCAGGCAAAGTGTAATTTCGATAAAAAGTCTGTACACACACAGTACATTTAAATACAAGATAGTTATATATACAACATCCAACACAAGCATTTATTGATGCATTTTTCGATATAACATAAAATACGCCTTTGTTCACATTGTAGGTAGAAGGTAGTAAGTAGGAGGGAGCTATCAAACAGGGAGGTACTACCGCCTGGGAAGATATTGGAAGCATAATGTGTTGTGTAATGGTAGACCCTGCTGCTATATGGCATCACGAAAAAAGGGTGACCAAGTCCCAGGTTGCTGATCTGACTTTCTGTCTCATTTACACACAATTGCACGGTCTCAGTTGTTTCTTACTTAGACAACGCAACATACATAATGTATATCGTTTCTTTCTTGGTTTATTTTTTCGTTTTTGTATTTATTTATGGTTATTATTATTATTTTTAGTATTTGGTTATTAATTTTTATGAATTATTATAATAATAATAATAAGTTATTATTATCATATATTAGCTACCCAGGTCCTGATGTGGGTCAGTGACCTGTGCCCGGATGGGCTAATCCCAGCAAAAAGAAAAAGAAAAAAAAAACTGAATTAATAGCTGAGTGAGGAGTGCCGCTACACGATAGAGCTGTGCTCCGCTGTAGAACTAGACAGTGAATTAATTGACTTGAAATGACAAGTTAATTCAATTCAAGTGTGGCCGGACAATATTCAAATCAAGTAAATTCATTGTCTTGTTCTACAGCAGAGCACAGCTCTATCGTGTAGCGGCACTCCTCACCAAACCATTAATTCGGTTCTAAAAATGTTTGGCAACCTGTAGTGATCCTGTACACATGTTCAGTCGAGTGAAGACCGTATCATAGGACGTTCAAGACTTCTCAGTTCAATTGGATTTCCAGAAATGTTTTAATTTAGTATACATAGAACTATGAAAAATCGAAAAATGTCGTGTACGGGACCACTACAGGTTGCTAAACATTATAGACTGAATTAATGGTTGGGTGATCACCGGCTGACAAGTTCTGTTAACATATTGGAGGTCTCCGCCGGCGCCACCAACGCGATAAAATGGACGCCTCAGTACGTATATGGAGTATTGTCTTTATAAACGTTATCACAAATTTACATACATAGATCAAATCAAATTATCAACCAATTAATATTGGCCGTAATTTAAAGCGAAACTCATTTACATTTGAAGCTCGTCAGGTGACCAGCTGGTACTGACAAGTAACTTATCATAATGCCGTTAATGTTCATTATTCTGGTTAGTAGGACATATATTTTTAAGCTAAAATCTAATGCAGGGAATAGAGTACATATTCATCATTTGCATACATAGCAGTTCTCTTATCACCATTGAACAATGAGAAATATTATATTTTAAATATCTACCTGGCATCTGAATTGTGCCTTTGCTGTTATGAACTTAATTTTTTAATACTAGCTAACACGAGGCGATATTATTTAGCTTTGAGGGCATATCCATTTAGAGGGTTAATTTGGTAAAGCAGTTCTTCATTTGTAGAGCAGTGATCCTCAACTTTTTGTAGGCTTTGGACCACATATATCATTGTAAATATAGTGGAAGGCGCCAAAATTTTGGATTTACATTCAAAAAACCAAAATCTCATATATACTGCAGTTATTTTCAGTTTTACACGTCTGATATCAGTTACATAATTTTTACATTTAATCTTGGACAGGACGAGTGTACTTACCCAAATGTGAAGGCTGGCTATCTCTGAGCCCGGTCTGGGGTAAATACGCAGTGAACGGAAATAAAGTCACAGGAGCGTCACATGACTTCTACACATTGACAACACACACACAGTATATATATATAATAAATAAATAAATAAATAAATAAATAAATATACATATATATATATATATATATATATATATATGTAATAAATAAATAAATTAAATATATATATATATATATATATATATATATATATATATATATATATATATATATATATATATATATATATATATATATATATATATATATATATATATATGATTGCATTGCACGTAGGTCTCCATAATATGGGGTACCCATGAATTAAAGGTTGGGGACCAATGCCAATGCCTTAGAGTACAATGGGTAGCTATTTGCCTTTTGTTTTCAATGCATAAATTAAACCCAGTGTCACAATCACAAATACACCCTGAAATTATAATGTTTTCATATCTCAGCCATTCCGAATTAAGTGATATGCATTTATTTTGTAAGCCAGGCATGAAATTGCTTTACAAACAAAGCTCGGATTCCTGGAAGTACATTATTAGGCTATTATCTCTATATCCTCTCTTTCAGCAAGACAAATAACTTCCTAAATTTCTTCCAGCCACTCCTAACTCTAGCCACTGTGCCATCTTCTGCACCCCTACTTAATCTAGCAAGGGCTACTTGGTCACTAGCATAAACTGAACATCTGAAGGCTACTTTTACCCTCTTCGCCACAGATTGGCTCGTTAGCCGCTAGGGCGGTCGGTCACGTCTCTGTTACGCACTGTTGGCAAGTACTAGGCATGAACTGGCTCCTGAATATATCGGAACCTGCGCCAGTGTTGGTCAAGTCTGGCCTTGAATGAGCTCACGCTCGGTGCCACCACAACACTCTCTGGCAGATTGTTCCAAGAGTTCACAATTCTCACTCCGAAAAAGTTTGCCCTCACTGTTTTCTGGGCTTGTGGCTTCATCAACCTTGAGCTGTGACCCCGTGTGGGTCGTGTGTCCGTCAGCTCCAAGTACAATATGTACAGTCGACAGTGTAGTATCCCCTGAGATGTTTACACATTCGATTAGGTCGCCCCTTGCCCATCTGTAGGATAAGCTAGGCAGTTATAGGCGTTCTAATCTCTGGGTAGTTGAGGTTCCGTAGAGCAGGCACCAGTCTGGTGACCCTCCTTTGTACATTTTCAATCAATTGACAGTCTCTAGCATACTTCAAGGACCAGACGGGGAAGCACATCACTCTTGAAAAGCGCGATGAGCGACGAACCATCCACATATCTAAACGACTTTCTTATAAGACCTACTAGTTTCGTTGCCCGATTCACCTTCTTCTCACAATGGCCCGAGAACTCATGTTCCTTGTCAACATACACACCCAAATCCTTTTTCACATTTGGTCTCAATTAATGCAGTTTCTTAGTCCTGTTGGGACATGTGTTACACCTCCTTACTGTTGGTGTGACCCAGGTGCACCCTCTTGCACTTTGTGCATTGAATCTTAGCAGCCATTTCTTCGACCATTCTTGAAGCTCGTAGAGATCCTTCTGTAGCACTTCACAGTTTTTTTTAGTAAATAACTTAGCATCGTCTGCAAACATTTGTGTGGTGGAGTGTAATAGCTTCTGGCATATAATTTATGAAGCAAACAAACAACAATGGGCCCAATACACTGCCCTGTGGTATGCAGCTTGTCACAGGTACTGTCAACCAAAGATTGACTGACCCCACTCTGGGTTTTGTGCTCGCATTTTTACCTGGCAATATTAGGTAAAGTAGGGGTCATCGGTGGTAGAAGCGGTACCGTTCTTGCCTCGCAAGCGAGATGTCACGGGTTAAGGTAAAGTAGGGGTGTATATAAAAGTGATTGCGATTGGTGGATCTATTTTCGGCTGTATCACAGTCAGGATGAATATTAAACGAACCAAAGGTAGCATTTTTATAATAATAAACTAGTCATCATTATTTTAGATATTGAGAAGTTTCCAAATGTTCGTATATTTGCGTAAATAATGAAAAAAATTGAGGTGAAAATCATGTGGCAGCTGTGATTGCAGTTGAGTTGCCACTTCATCAATATAATTCTCTTCATTATTTAAGTAAGTACCTGTATACAAAAATTGGGAAACTTCTCATGATCTTAAATAATGATGAATAGTTTATATTATAAAAATGCTGCCTTTGGTTCTTTTAATATTCATACTGACTGGTACAGCCGAAAATAGATCCACCAATCACAATCACCATTACATACAGCCTTACTTTACCAAGTACTACCAAGTAATATTGCGAGCACGAAACCCGGCTTGGGGTGAGTACATCTTTGGTTGACTGTACACATGACGATTTTGTACCATTAATCACCACACAATGCTTGCGGTCATGCAGAAAGTCTACGACACTTCCCCGAATCCCGTATCCTACCGATTTAATTCTCAGCCTTTCATGGGATACGCTGTCAAAAGCTTTGGCAAAATATAAGTACAGTATATATTGTCGATATTTCTGCTTTGTTCTAGAATTTGAGTCCAAACATCCAGGACCTTGAGTAATTGTGATAAGCAGGAGCATCCCGGCATAAAACCATGCTGGCAGTCCTTTACGAGGTTGTATCATAGTAGATGTTCCATAATGGCATCTCTTATGATGCTGTCTAGTACTTTACACACTATGCTGGTCAGGCTCACTGGAATATAATTATTCATGTAGTGACAATAGCCCTTCTTGAAAATAGTACTCACATAGCCATTTTCCAGTCATCGGGACCTTTAGTTCATCCAGGCATTTGCAGAACAGGATCTTAAGGGGCTCCACAAGCTCATTACACAGTTCTCTTAACACACTGGGGTGGACCATTTCAGGGCCAGGACTCGTGGATCTTTAGCTTTGACAGTTTATTTCTTTTGCCCTCATCTGAGAAAACACTGTGGGTCAGCACTGTGCCAAACCATCTTTCCTCAATGAAGGAAGATAGTTTGCGCCCTCTCGTGAACGAGGGAACACAAATTTCAACGCCTCCATCTTATCCTGGCCAGAATCTGCATAATCCGATATGCTGACTCGCGCTTTTAATTTCGACTTTGTGTAGCGATAAAAGGCTTTGACTTGACCTTGCTTGCAATCTGCCTCTGGAACTCTTTTTCAGCCCTTCTACACTCTGACTTTGCTTGGTTCCTGGAACTGGCATACATCCTCCTATCCTGCCCATCATTTGTCCTAACCCATGTCTCTAAATCCTGAGTTTTCTTCTCAACTTTGTTGACTGTCGCATGGTTCATGTGGAGGGGTCGCCTTGTATTCCTAGAGGCACTGGGTTTAGTCTTTGGTATATATTTCTTGATCAAATGGTTCACTTTAATAGCTATGATATTCAGCGTAGTGTCTGCGTTCTTATTTCTAAGCAAGTCAGGCCAGTGTATACGCCTCATCTCCTCCCTCATCCCATAGTAATTTCCTTTGTAATATTTTAACCTAGACCTATTTTTGTCATGAACCAAGTAACAGTTAAATCTGAAGGACAACGTTATGTGGTGTCTGGCGCCAACTGGGGCTAGGTGTTCCAGATTTGCCACCATACCCTCCTTGTTGATTATGATGAGGTCCAGTGGTTTGGGTGTTTGCTCCCCTTTGTAGGGAGTTGGATCTTTCACATGTAGGAATAGAAAATTGTCTCTCAGAGTTTTTATGAAAAGAGTGGCAGGATTATTTATGTCGTTTGGCGTGGATTCATTTCTCCAGTCAATGTTGCCATAGTTAAAGTCCCCCATGACATGGAGGTGGCTAGGGTTTAGCGCCGTTACGTTGTCAATTAAGGCTCTTAAGTTCCTTTGGTTTAATACGCTACAGTTTGGGGATCTGTAGATACATCTCACATGAGTAAGTGTCTCCCATTCAGTTTAATTTTACACCACTTTGATTCTTTGAAAACATCCTCTCCACCTGGCTGGCATCCTCCTTCAGTCTACCCCTGGCACATTTCAATTTATGTTGACTCTACTCTCACATTCTTTTCCCAATACAGTGTACTTTAATTTTATGAAAAAAAAATTCTGATCTAATGTCACAGATGCAGCACAGTATATAAATTTGTGCTGTTATATTGTATTTGGGTTTTTTCTCCAGAGTGTCTGCTGAAACTATGAATACAATAGTGCTACAACAGCTGTGATGGAAAGGGTGATGAGAGAATGGTCCAAACAGCAAAAGATTGGGATGGTGGACATCGGAAGAGACACAAGCAACAATTGAATATAACTTAATGGAAGGTGGTTGACTGACTATACATAAAGTTGAGCCAGACTTCTGCACAATGGTTCTCAAAAAAAATCTTTAGCACAACAGGACACTTGCTTTGACTGAGAAAATACGACTTTAAGCCAGGAAACATTCTAAGAATTCTCTCAACATCAGGCATTAGTGCTAACCATCTTGTTTATATTCAATTTCCACAAAATAGCAGAAGTCCTTCAGGTCTTCTACTCTTAACTGAATACAAGTAGAAATATGAATATATCTTGACAACAACTGACAAATACTGTAGTCGCAGGCAGTCTGCACAGCAACCAAAACCAATCAATTCTCTGCCTAAGCATTAAATTTCCTGAAAGTTTTTAACTTCTTTTCTTTGAGCTCCACCAAAATTACAGTTTGTATTATCACTGCAGAAAATAACTAATTTCTTGCCAAGATCATGTTCTTTGATAATATATGTTAAGTAGGTCACCACAATATCCGAGGTTTCTCCAGACTGAGACTGGAAGTCAATGAGTTTTACTTGAACACCTTCATAGGGCTGAAAGAAGCAAATCAGTACAGGGAAAATTTTGTTGCTGCCATGGTTGCTTGCATCAGTTAATATTGTTTCACAATGAGCATCTTTCAACTGTTTATCCAGTTCTGATAAGGCATATGAAGCAAATACATCTGTAACAATTGTATGGCAATTCATTCTGACACATCAAAATTTTGGCTCAAAGCAGTTCTGAAGGGGGTACACTTTTAAAAAAGGGTAGTGACTGTTTTGCTAGACAAGGCACTGACATCAACAGCTTTGTGTTTCAGTGAGATCAGATGTTTAGCAATATCATTATCTCCATCATGTGCAATGCTAAACTCTCCGTTACATTTCATACATCATCCTGTACGTACATCACTTTCTGTCTTCATTTTTATAAGAACGGGGCATTTTAACTGCAGGGAGGAATTAAATGTGCACTTTCACTTTGGCATTTTCCCAACCAAAATGAAGAAAACCTGTCCAACACAAAAATAATTTTCCTATTTTTCTGTGCGTCACACGTGTAATAGTCCAAGCGGTTTAACCAACACTGTCTGAGGATTCAGTGAGTAGCATAGCTTACAGTTGCAGTTTTCTGCCTGTTTTTGTAAATTTTCTTCTCTTGTTGGTATACATTTTCAATGTTTGTATGTTATATATTGAGAATTATAATGCAATATATGATGTACAAAAACCACTTTGACATTGCAATGCACTTTTTATATCGGTAAAGGACTTTATAAACGGCAACAAACAGAATTTTACACTTGTGTGAATTAAAAATATTAAATGTATCACGTAACATATGACATCTATGCATGCAGCTCGGACAGGACAGGAATCATATGAAGTTGGAGGGCTAAGTTGCCAAACATTACTTTTTGTGCCACTGCCAACATCTCTCTCTCTCTCAAAAACATTTTGAATTTCTTGTGGTAAAATTTATTCTTTCGTCAATGAAGTGGGACATTTCGGGACACATTCTGAAAATGCGGGACATTATCGTGACGCTGTCAGAATGCGGGATGCTCGTTGAAAAATCAGGACATCTGGTCACCTTAAGTTTTGCTGTTGTATTTTTATTTCCAGAGCATATTAAACACATGGGAATTTGGAAAGATATGGAAGAGCACCTTAAATTGGGGAAAATTATTGAGAAGACAGAAGTTTCTCTCTTAGAGGCAGAGAGAAGAAGCTGGAGGGATATTCTCATATTTCGTGTGTATCATACAATCATTAGCTGAGAGAAATCTTGCCTTGAGGAGGTTCACAGACACTACATTAGGCAGACAATGGGAACTTCCAGAAAGAAATTGAGCTTCTAGCTAAATTTTATCCTATTTTAAAAGAACACATTAAATGAATTGAAAGAGGAGTAGGAACCCATACCACCTATCTTGGCAAAAGAATTCAAGATGATCTCATCGAGTAAATTTGTGACAAAATCATTTGAGAAAATTGTAACAGGTAAAAAAGTCAAGGTACTACTTTGTTATATTGGATTGCACGCCTAATATCAACCATCAAGAACAAATTTTAGTCACCTTAAGTACTCTAATACAAAAAGACACCCCTGAGGTCAAAGAGTATTTCATTGGCTCACTAGTAACAACAGGTTAAGATTTGGCAAACCTTATTCATGAGAAACTCGAGAACATGAACATACCATTTGCTGATTACATGGGACAGACTTATATGATAATTATGGGTCAAACATGAAAGGAAAACAAGAGTGTAAATATGGCCCTTGGCAATAAATCTCCATGCACTCTTTTTGCCTTGTGGTGCATATACCCTAAACCTGGTGGAGGCAAATGCTGTTAAAAGCTCCCTAGATGCCTTAGGGTACTTTGGAATTCTTCAGAAGCTGTTTATCATGTTTTCAGCTGCAACACAGCGATGGACAATGCTGAAGAACAGGGTATATATCTCCCTGAAATCGTGGTCAGAGACAAGGTGGGAAAGCCATATCAAAGCTATAGAGCCTGTGTGTTATCAAACTACACAGGTAAGGGAGGCCCTGCTGGATGTGAGGAACCAAGTCACAAACCCTATGACATGGATAGAGAAAGTTGGATCTTACCATTTTTGAATATGCAACGTGGTATGGTATGACATTCTGAGACAAATACAACAGGTGTGCAAGCTCCTTCAGTCAACCACCATGCAGCTTGTTGTGGCTATGAGCTTACTCAAGAACACTAAAGAGCCTTCCTGGTGAGCTACCATGAGAGTGGATTTGCCTCAGAAAAAGCATCAGCTAAGGACATGTGTGAGGAGATGAATGTGGAGGCTGTGTTGAAGGAAAAGAAACTTCGAATGACAAAGAGGCACTTTGGATATGAAGCTCCAGATGAGCCAATTTCTGATGCTCTGAAAATATTGGAAGTTATTACTGGGGGATAACCAATGCAGAAGTAAACTCGTGCATAGAAGAAAAACAGCTAATTTAGGCTAATGGCAAGAGACTACCATTAGTGAGCAGTGCCTGTGTATATCTCGCACATAGAAAATTTGAATGGATGCCAGTGGTGAAGGGGATGGTAGGAAATAAAGAAGTTGAGATACTTATGGATACACAGTACATTGAGTGCTAATGGTGAAGATTAAATTGATACACCATATCTTACAGGTACATTAAACCCTCGAGTTATAGATAACTCGGCACATATGGGGCTCTGGCCTTGTCGAGTTATCCCAAATTCCTACTTATCGAGGCACTTCCCCCCTCCTACAAAAATACTCTACAACAATAAATATTTTTCGACCCATATATGTGTACAGTACAAAAGACAAAAGTCGTGTCGTGAAATTTGGTGAAAACATATGCCGAAGGGCTAAAACTTTTGGTGCGCTCTGCATTGTGGTAGGAGGCTCTCATAATGTTTCACGAGTTATATTTAATCTTCGGACAAAACCGCGACTCCACTTTTGTCTTTGATTGTACATGTAATTACTAAATGTAAAAAAGTAACACTTAGCAGCACTGCAGGCAAAGAATGAAGTACCATAGTAGGTGACACAGATACATGGTAGGTGACAGAGGCATGGTAGGTGATGCAGGTGGCCAGATATACTGAGATTTTCCAAGATAATCTTACATATCTCGGGATTTCCCGAGTTATACTAATACATTCCGAGACCATATCCATGCCGAGTTCTATGAAATTCCAAGTTATCAAATGCTGAGTTATCGAGAGTTTATTGCAGTGACTAAAGTTAGCAGAATATAAGCTGCATTGCTGGAATCCTTGCAAGATAGCGAATAATTTGAATGTAGATATAACACACCTCAAATTAATTGTTAAAATATTATATTGATTTTTATTTATTATTGTACAGTATACTGTACAATACTCTATTTTGTTTATATTTAATGTTTTGTTAATTCTATTACTGGTATACTGTACTTTGTATGTATTTCTTAATTCATATTCATAAGGTTCATTGCAGAAATATTAATGTGTTTGCTTACTGGGTGCTGCCACAGACCCAGCTAGGGTGTTACCATAATATACGGCATATGTACCTTGCTACCGTTCTGAAATCCAAAAAATTCCGAATTCCGAAACACATCTGGTCCCAAGGGTTTCAGATAAAGGATTGTGGGCCTGTATTATATTTTCGGCGTAAATACGAATAAAATAACGACATTCATTGAATTGGGTCCTAAATTAACTTGGGTCTTAAATATGAATCATCGTTAGTAGAACCGTCGTTATCGGAGGCTTTCCTGTACGTACTTATAAGAGGCCAGTTTTTCTGTGCTAACAGCAGTGAAGACAAAGTTTCGTTAGATGTTGAGAAAGAAGAGTGAAACTGTGCTCAATTGCCCCCAACTTCACTGACCTTTGTACCGAAATGCAGACACATCCTTCACATTAATAAGGTATGTAGCAACATACCAATATTCATGTTCCAAAGACGTCATAATATTGGTTGGTTAAAATGTGCTCATTTATAATGCAGTGTTTATACATAAGTGCATTACAATGACAAGAGATAGGGTGTGCCAACTCTGTCCTAGTTTGGAAGGGGGTGCGTGGCCTAAAAAGTTTGGGAACCGCTCCTGTACAGTATGGTGCACCATCTATGGCACACCCTGTACAGTATGGTGCACCATCTATGGCACACCCTGTACAGTATGGTGCACCATCTATGGCACACCCTGTACAGTATGGTGCACCATCTATGGCACACCCTGTACAGTATGGTGCACCATCTATGGCTCACCCTATACAGTATGGTGCACCATCTATGGCACACCCTGTACAGTATGGTGCACCATCTATGGCATACCTTATACAGTATGGTGCACCATCTATGACACACCCTATACAGTATGGTGCACCATCTATGGCACACCCTGTACAGTATGGTGCACCATCTATGGCACACCCCATACAATATGGTGCACCATCTATGGCACACCCTGTACAGTATGGTGGACCATTTATGGCACACCCAGTACAGTATGGTGCACCATCTATGGCACACCCAGTACAGTATGGTGCACCATCTATGACACACCCTGTACAGTATGGTGCACCATCTATGACACACCCTGTACAGTATGGTGCACCATCTATGGCACACCCTGTACAGTATGGTGCACCATCTATGACACACCCAGTACAGTATGGTGCACCATCTATGACACACCCAGTACAGTATGGTGCACCATCTATGGCACACCCTATACAAGAGCAATAAATTATAATATAGTATTCAAGTTAAGCCAAAATAATAAACTACAGTAAAGACCCTGAGTACTGGACTAATTAAGCCACAGTGATGTTGTTACTCAAACGGAATCCATTACAGTAAGTCCTCGTTTAACGTTGCTCCCGACAACATTGTTTCGTTTTAACGTCGCTACTCTTTAGATAACCATGATTCGGACAACGTCCCGCCAGTTTGGTATAACGTCGTCACGGACTACTTTGTACGACGCATCACCCTCTCTCACCCAGTCAGAGCGGGAGGAGCCACCCTTCTCTTCCTCCTCTTCACTACCAAACACATATTCGCTCCACTTCCGCCCATCAGTGGGTACAATACAAAATGATTAAGTTTATTTTTCTTTTTGGAAATAGTACAGTATAATATATACTATTTTCTAAAAAAATTCCATTGAACTTATGTATATGTAATGTACTGTATTTTATGGAGCAATGGGAAACTGGGGAACACAACTGCCGTATTTTATCTATTTCTTATGGGGAAAATTGATTCCGTTAACGTCGCTGTTTACAAGAACGGAACCACAACGTTAAGTGAGGACTTACTGTATTCGGAAGCCCATATCACCAGGGAGGCACAGCTGTTCAAAACAACAGTCAGCATATAACACTAACAGAGATTGGCTTAGTTAAGCTCAAAATAAATTAGTTCAAGCAAAATAATCATACATCATGTTACTCTTTCAGGAAATCAGATGTTTTTTATTTAAACTGTTATTAGATGTAGAAGCTTTCAGAGCCGCAAAGACTTTTGAGGGTTCCCGAGTGCCGACATGCGTGCATGTGGCATGGATGGCCTTATGCAATGAGAGGTGGATGATGTGAAGATGAGGATATGTACAGTAAAAAAAAGATAATTTGTACTCCTCAGATTTGAAATCAGACATAATTCATAATGTTTTGCTGTTACGAAATAGATATTAAAAATTTGGCAATATTTGGTAAAATTTTGCAGGGGCAGATTCAGGAATATCAAAAAGGGGGTGGGGGTCCAAGAAGTTGTTGGTTAGAGAAGCTGGCGAGCACAGTGAGCCCACCTAGCTGGGGGGGGCAGTAAGACCACCCTCCAGATTTTTTTAGATCTGACCAATATCATGGGCATTTTGAGGCCATTTGCATTGACATTAAGAGATATTCTGAGGCAATAGTAATTACTTTTTACTATACAAAAATGCCTGAGTACAATACTGCATTAAAGAAAAAGTATTGGAATTTTCTGATGAAAAGGAGGTCTAGACCCCCAGGACTCCCCTTGGATCCATCCCTGTTTTGAAATATGAGAGACATTTGCAAATACAGTATATATATGATGAACATATTGCCATGGGATGCGATCATTGACCGCCCACCTTAATGTAAATAAGTACTCTATGCATCACACGCGTCAATGACGGTCACTTCACATTGGTCAGTTGTGGAGTGTACATCTATGGTCTATGGTGCATGCTTTTTCCACTTGTTTTCTGAGCATTGCCCAGTGTTTGAGCTGTTATGTCTGAAAACCCTGGACCAGGCACCTAAATCTGGTACTGTACAGGTGTACTATGAAAACTGACACCCCAATAACTGCATGATGACACCATTAAATTTAAAAGGAATAAAGTACTGTAATCCATTAATGTACTTAATCATCTAAGTCATCATCAGAACTGTCAATGGTGATGAATTTTCTCCGTTTAGATGAGGTTGGTTGGTCAGAGTCAGTAGAGAGGTAATTCTCATTATCATGGCAGGTGAGAAGTGAGGAGGCTTTCTTTTCTAAAGTCTTCTTCTCATCTTCTGAATTATATCTTGAGTTAATCTCTACCTGACTCTTACTGCCACCATCATTATTGTATTCCTCTCTTTTATAACATTTCCTGTTCAGCTTTGAGTCAGTGTCAGAATCTGTGTAATTACTGCTACTAGTAACAATAGTAACTGTTTTGATACCACTCTTCCTACTCTGAGGATGATCTTTGCCACCAGTACCCTTGTTGCTACTGTGGGTATACTGATCACTGTTATTGGTTGTTGGTTTGCTGCCACCTTTCCTCTTGGTTCCTTTATTTGCTTCATTACTTGTAACTGAATGGTTCTGTTTAGTAGCCAAAGTAATTTTGTCTGACTCTGCTGACTCTTCTGAAAAACTTGATAATTTTCTTATGCCACCAACAATTAAAGGACTTGGTGGTATTCCAGCTCCTGCCTTTGGACCTGCAAAGTTATTGATATAATTAGTGTATAGATTATTACATATTCTTGGAGATAATGTAGTCATCTACCTTATCATTGCAAATGTCCTTTTATTCTGAATGGTAAGATGATTGAAGTAATCAAATCACCAAACATTCCTGTCATTACAAATTACAGTAGCATCCCAGTTATCCAGCATCCGGTAGCCAGCACCAAAATAAAATACAGTGGTAGTAATATACAAATTTCTCCTTAATCAGCTCTTATCATAAGTTTAAATATCACGCACAATGAGAGAAGCTGCCATATTTATTTCTTTGATAAACAATAAAACTGAGACATAACATATCATAAAATACAATAGCACATATTTTATGTAAAAAAAAAATAGTTCCTACCACACTCAAACTATCCTCTGGACGATGCATAACAGTTCAGGCAGGCAGTCAACCAGCTGACTCACAGATGTGTGGCTGCTATGCTGCGCTGTGTGTATGCACAGCAGCCCTGCTGTTATAGCTCAATGCCGCCACACACACATTCACTTCCCACATTTACACACCCATGCTCCTCGTTTTTCTTATTTTATAGTTTGATATTACATTTTCTTTATTCTTAAGCCACATCATTAATAAAGAGTGAGATAAGAGTTAGAGAAGTCCATTTTTCTGAGACAAAAGGCCAGCCTGTTGCACTATGGACTGTAGGATTTAGTGAGGGATCATAAAAGTGAGCTTCAACTAACCAGAAAATCTCTTTAAATAACACCCCTCAATCACCATTAGGAGCTGGATAACTGGGATTCTACTGTACTTTTATGCTTATGCAAAGGATCAAAGAGACACCACTCGAACTGCTGAATGATTTTCCATGTTACTGTACTTGTGTGTAAGGCACAAGGTATACAGTAAATACAGTACGGTATTTTCCTTTTGATGTAAGAAAAAATGTGAAAAGGTGTGTCCCAGCAGCTGACATACAGAAACAAAAAATAAACCATCACCACCACACCCTTCTGGTACACAACATCACCCCCTTCTGGTACACAACATCACCTCCTTCTGGTACACAACATCACCTCCTTCTGGTACACAACATCACCCCCTTCTGGTACACAACATCACCCCCTTCTGGTACACAACATCACACCCTTCTGGTACACAACATCACACCCTTCACACAACATCACCCCCTTCTGGTACACAACATCACACCCTTCTGGTACACAACATCACACCCTTCTGGTACACAACATCACACCCTTCTGGTACAACATCACCTCCTTCTGGTACACAACATCACCTCCTTCTGGTACACAACATCACCTCCTTCTGGTACACAACATCACCTCCTTCTGGTACCACAACATCACCTCCTTCTGGTACACAACATCACACCCTTCTGGTACACAACATCACCTTCTGGTACACAACATCACCTCCTTCTGGTACACAACATCACACCCTTCCCAACATCACACCCTTCACACAACATCACACCCTTCTGGTACACAACATCACACCCTTCTGGTACACAACATCACACCCTTCTGGTACACATCACACCTCCTTCTGGTACACAACATCACCTCCTTCTGGTACACAACATCACCTCCTTCTGGTACACAACATCACCTCCTTCTGGTACACAACATCACCTTCTGGTACACAACATCACCCCCTTCTGGTACCCAACATCACCTCCTTCTGGTACACAACATCACCTCCTTCTGGTACACAACATCACACCCTTCTGGTACACAACATCACACCCTTCTGGTACACAACATCACCCCCTTCTGGTACACAACATCACCTCCTTCTGTTCACATCACCTCCTTCTGGTACAACATCACCTCCTTCTGGTACACAACATCACCTCCTTCTGGTACACAACATCACACCCTTCTGGTACACAACATCACACCCTTCTGGTACACAACATCACCCCTTCTGGTACACAACATCACCTCCTTCGTACACAACATCACCTCCTTCTGGTACACAACATCACACCCTTCTGTATACAACATCACACCCTTCTGGTACACAACATCACCCCCTTCTGGTACACAACATCACCTCCTTCTGGTACACAACATCACCTCCTTCTGGTACACAACATCACACCCTTCTGGTACACAACATCACACCCTTCTGGTACACAACATCACCTCTTCTGGTACACAACATCACCTCCTTCTGGTACACAACATCAGCTCCTTCTGGTACACAACATCACCCCCTTCTGGTACACAACATCACACCCTTCTGGTACACAACATCACACCCCTTCTGGTACACAACATCACCCCCTTCTGGTACACAACATCACCTCCTTCTGGTACACAACATCACCTCCTTCTGGTACACAACATCACACCCTTCTGGTACAACATCACCCCTTCTGGTACACAACATCACACCCTTCTGGTACACAACATCACCTCCTTCTGGTACACAACATCACCCCTTCTGGTACACAACATCACCCCGTTCTGGTACACAACATCACCTCCTTCTGGTACACATCACCCCCTTCTGGTACCAACATCACCCCCTTCTGGTACACATCACCTTCTGTACACAACATCACCCGTTCTATACACAACATCACCCCTTCTGGTACACAACATCCCCTCCTTCTGGTACACAACATCACCTCCTTCTGGTACACAACATCACCCCCTTCTGGTACACAACATCACCTCCTTCTGGTACACAACATCACCCCCTTCTGGTACACAACATCACCTCCCTTCGGTACACAACATCACCCCCTTCTGGTACACAACATCACCCCTTCTGGTACCAACATCACCCCTTCTGTACACAACATCACCTCCTTCTGGTACACAACATCACCTCCTTCTGGTACACAACATCACCCCCTTCTGGTACACAACATCACACCTTCTGGTACCAACATCACCCCTTCTGGTACACAACATCCCTTCTGGTACACAACATCACCTCCTTCTGGTACACAACATCACACCCTTCTGGTACACAACATCACACCCTTCTGGTACATCACCCCTTCTGGTACACAACATCACCTCCTTCTGGTACACAACATCACCCCCTTCTGGTACACAACATCACACCCTTCTGGTACACAACATCACCCCTTCTGGTACACAACATCACACCCTTCTGGTACACAACATCACCTCCTTCTGGTACACAACACATCACCTCCTTCTGGTACACAACATCACCTCCTTCTGGTACACAACATCACCTCCTTCTGGTACACATCACCCCTTCTGGTACACAACATCACCTCCTTCTGGTACACAACATCACCCCTTCTGGTACACAACATCACCTCCTTCTGGTACACAACATCACCTCCTTCTGGTACACATCACCCCTTCTGGTACACAACATCACCCCTTCTGGTACACAACATCACCCCTTCTGGTACACAACATCACCCCTTCTGGTACACATCACCTCCTTCGGTACACAACATCACCTCCTTCACACAACATCACCTCCTTCTGGTACACAACATCACCTCCTTCTGGTACATCACCCCTTCTGGTACACAACATCACCTCCCTCTGGTATACAACATCACCCCTTCTGGTACACAACATCACCTCCTTCTGGTACACAACATCACCCCTTCTGGTACACAACATCACCTCCTTCTGGTACACAACATCACCCACCTCTGGTACACAACATCACCCCCTTCTGGTACACATCACCTCCTTCTGGTACACAACATCACCCCTTCTGGTACACAACATCACCCCTTCTGGTACACAACATCACCTCCTTCTGGTACACAACATCACCCACCTCTGGTACACAACATCACCTCCTTCTGCTACACAACATCACCTCCTTCTGCTACACAACATCACCCACCTCTGGTACACAACATCACCCACCTCTGGTACACAATATCACCCACCTCTGGTACACAACATCACCTCATTCTGCTACACAACATCACCTCCTTCTGCTACACAACATCACCTCCTTCTGGTACACAACATCACCTCATTCTGCTACACAACATCATCTCCTTCTGCTACACAACATCACCTCCTTCTGGTACACAAAATCACCTCCTTCTGGTACACAACATCACCCCTTCTGGTACACAACATCACCCACCTCTGGTACACAAAATCACCCACCTCTGGTACCAACATCACCTCCTTCTGGTACACAACATCACCTCCTTCTGCTACACAACATCACCCCCTTCTGGTACACAACATCACTCACCTCTGGTACACAACATCAGATACAAATACTGTATAAGGTTACTGCCCAATATACAGTAATATCCCAATTAGCCATAACTCCTCAATTCCAGGTACTGAAGAGTTCTGGCGAATGGGGATATTACTTATTGGACATTGCATCAGGTCGGTCAATAACAGGAGATCTACAAATCTCCCACAGCTCCATATGAGTGGAAAATACCAGGATTATTTGAGTAAAGAAATGAAGTTTCTAAATTAATTAGAACAGCTTTTACAGACTCCGCTAGTTTAGACTATCGGAAACCTATCCCAGGTTTGAGAAAGTTTTGATACCAGGAAATCTCTATCCCGAAAAGAGCTCTGCACCCTTTGTTCCGGCTAATCGGATATCACTGTATTTATTTAAGACAAAAAGAGAAGAAAGTGACAAGACTTACCAGGTACAATGTAGCTAATAGTACTGTAGGGAGTGAAGTGGAAGTCTTCTTTAAGGAAACCATCAATAAGAAGAAAAGCAATGATGTTCTCAGCCCTGTCTCGTGTTACTCCAGTCACTGTAGCTTCCTGCACTCGCATCTTGGCGGGACCTTTACCTAGGAACAAGTCAACAAGCTTCTGACCTGAAACAACACCACAGTTAACTTCTTATCACTTAATTATATAGTTGTTGATCTTTCATAACACTAAGTCATTTTGACAGGTAAATTAATTCACTAGCGTAGCTGGGGGGCGGGGGCGGTCCGCCCGGGCAGCACTTTTGGGGCGCACTTTTGGGTGAAGGATCACGAGATGCTGAATTGCCATACGACACTGAATTGAGGAGAGAAATGTTTTCTTCGCCGGACAGAGTGATCCAAGAAATAACTTTGAGATTTCAACAGCTTCATGAACTTGCTGAGAAATATGCCTTCCTTACCCCATTGAATCTTTTGGATGATAAATATGAGTGTCAAATAGATCACGATCACGACGACATTGATAAAGAGGAGTTCCTCGTTGAGAGAAAAAGACTTCATCATTTTGTTGCTGTTGCTGCTATAACTATTAAAGACAGAATACAGGCGTGGAAAGAAGGCCCCCTTGAACTTTTGCAGTTTATTCAAAAGTATAACCTTGGGAACTCGGTTCCAAATATAGTAATAATGCTGAAGATTTTCCTCACAATTGCTGTTAGTGTTGCTACCTGTGAGAGGAGTTTTTCGAAACTAAAACTGATCAAGAATTACTTAAGATCTACTATGAGCACCTTGCGGTTGAGAAATCTTGCCATACTGTCTATAGAGCGACAATTGACATATGAAATAGTTTTTGACAATGTCATTGAAGAATTTGCCAACAAAAAACAAGAAAAGTTACTTTGTAGAAAGTTGTAGTTTTCATTTCAGAAATAAAGATGGTCCTAATTTTTACACTTTTTTACTTTTTTCCCTATCTTATATGTCGCTTTTGCTTTTTCTTTAACTGTTACTTATAAAGTTTAAGTATGTTTGGGGTGTATTTAAAGCATACTATATTTGAGTATGTGAAAGTACAGTAATATTATAATGGTACACAAACTATTTAATATATATACTGTATATATATATATATATATATATATATATATATATATATATATATATATATATATATATATATATATATATATATATATATATATATATATATATATATATATATATATATATATATATATATATATGAGTGAGTCACTGTGCAATATGTATTTTTTGTGGGGGCACGGGGGGGCGGCAAACTCTCTAGCTACGCCACTGAATTAATTAGTTAGTTAGTTAGTTAGTTACAGAGAGAAATAGACAAGCACATCAATTCAGTAAAACCACTATGCAAGTTTACATTGATTCAGTATGTATACAGAACACATAGACAATGCTGTACACAATGTACTGTACAGGTACATAAACAATACAGTTACAGTATTGTCATTTTATAAAAATACAGGCACAGCATAAGAACTTTACTATTCAGGCAATCAACTCATAGCATCACCCAGGTTACCTTGGTGAAGAGGTTAATCTTATCAGTGTCGCATTACGTCAGAAACTGAGGGAAAATATAATGAAGGCATACCAAGACCAGCTCACAGTAGTATATATTATATGGTAAAACCTCCATATACTAGACTTCTCTTTTTATATAATCCTTTAGTTGGGTGTTTTACATCTAACAGACCTTGATATAACAGACTTACTTTCCTTGCCCTTTAATCCATTAAATAGAGGTCTCACTATAAATGAAACAGAAGAATAGTGAATGAAAGAAAATTCATGACTTGGTAACTAATGTGCTATCAGTTCATCTCAGAACCACCAGGATATCATGTCACAAATTTTAAGTGTATTACAATAACGTACATAGCAATAGTACTGTATATCGGGGTACATTAGCATTAAGTGAACAATGCATACAGGTGATTTTTACATGACCAAACATGTGAATTTGATCTAAAATATTTAAAGCAAGTGAAGTAACTGTCACCATTAAACTGACTCCATGCACCTGTAATGGTTCCCCCCTCAAGACCCAGCTGTATACCTCCATCATCTCTACCACTGTTGGAACAGATAAGTCACTATCTTCAGGGTTAAAAGTGCATATATGCTACCGCATTTAGAATGTACTCACACAAGATAGTTAATCCTCTCTCGCATTATGACAAATAATTGGGTAATACTATTATACAGTATTTGCACTGGTAATGCAAATAGTTTAAAAAAAAAAAAATATATATATATAAAAAAAAATTCAAGAAAGTTGCATCATAATTTCATGCATCATAGATTACAGCATGATCTTGCGAGGGAAGATTCCAGAAAGTACCAGAGTGTGGGTGGAATTCCACTGTCCATCAGTTTCTTCTCATGAGTCATGCTGTTAGGTCACACTTGTCTCTTTATTTCCTCATCCATCCTCCCCAGAATTAATCATTTAAAAATTCCAAAGTCACAATGAAAAAGCTCATAAAATTCCACTTCTATACTTATATTATCTTGGTAGGTTTTTGAGAAAATATCCGAGATATGATGCTGGGAACACAAATATTTTTTTTCCTTTATTTGGTGTGAAAAAATATAGTCTTATTTTCGTCTTATATTTTTTCTGCTTATGTTAAAGCCAAAACAATAATGAAGCCAGTGAGGTGTTAAATGAGATTTGCATTCCACTTTGACTCTTATTCAGGAAATCTTTGGATCAAGGTAAAGTGGCGAGGGAATGGAAATCATCCAATGTCACCCCAGTAAACAAGAAGGGTAGGAAAAGTGCAGCTTAAAACTACAAGCTGATCAGCCTAACATCTCATACATGCAAACTTTTTGAGAAAATTCTAAGGGACGTCATCATTGAACACCCGACCGAGCACAATCTCCTCAATGCATCACAACACAGTTTCATGGAAAGAAACTTTACTCGCACATATTCTGAATGGAAAAAGGTTCTCAATGGAGTACAGTACTACAAGGCTCTATCCTTGGACCCACCCTGTTTATGATCTTCTAACATTGATGAAAACAAGGTACTGTACCTGGTAATATGAGTTATGCAGTTTTGTTGTGTAGCCATGGCTGAGTGACTAGGACTGAACTATGGGGAACCAGCAAACAGGGTAATCCATGGTTTACTGCCCATGACTATACGGTGCTGCATTGCCACATTTCATAAATGTGCCCCCCCCCCCCTACATTTAGCTGTGGTAAGTTCATGTGGAGGCAACTACATAGAGAGTGCAGGTAGAGTATACAAACAATGGTAAACAATAAGCCAATTAAGCCATCACATGCTTATTTTCAGTAGGGTCCCTTGCTTAGGCTGAGGGAATAATAAGCAATAGCATATTTGGAAGAACACCATTATCAGGCCACTTGGTCAGCTTATATAAAATACCTGTCATACATACTAAAGGAGTCTGCTGAAGGGCACATAAAGAGAGAGCCTTTAATAGTCACAGTATTTCAAAGGTCGCTCACTGATGAGATGTGATTATAAGGATATCTAAAAAACTAAATTTAGTTTTTATTACTTGCCTGTCAACCTTTGATCCACACAAGCAGCGTTAGCGAGTATCATCAGAATGTGTTCACCATATTTTGCTATGTCTAAATTTTTAACTTCTCTTGGTGCTTTACAGTGATCACACATTCCTTGGCAGTCGGCTGTCTCCCATCTCTCATCAAAGTGTTCGGCTATCATATTTCTTCGGCACCTGAAAGTAATTTATAAAGTGATTAAAAGCTTTAATATCGTCATCATGTACAGATACTGATATGTAGTACAGGTGCTCCTCTACTTAAGGATGTTCAACTTACAAACTTTCAGAGATACAAACATCATCACTGAGGGGGGTTACCTGCCAGAACAGGTATTTAATGTGTTGAGACTGGATTATTTAGAAGAAAATTCCAGTTAGAACAAACATTACCTAAGAGGAGAAGAGTGAGCCAGGTTTTAAGGCTGTATTAAAGGGTATAGCTGTACTAAATATCCATAATCTTTTAATTTTTTACAATATGTTTGGTATCTACAGGAGTAAAGTTGGACTTACAAACAAGCCTGAGGAATGTAACTCGTTCGTAAGTAGAGGAGCACCTGTATAGTTTGTATTGATAGTTTTAAATATACAGTACAGTGGTTCCTCGGTTAACGAACACAATTCGTTCCACAGAGTCGTTCGTTAACCAAAAATTTCATTAACCGAATCTATTATTTCAATGGGATATTGGGTAATTGGTTCCAACTCACAGAAAATGTACATACAAAATACTGTATACCAGTAATAGAATTAACAAAACATTAAATATAAACTAAATACAGTACTGTACTGTACAGTACACTGTAAAATAATAAATAAAAAACAATAGAATACTGTATTTTAACTTACTTTGAGGTGTGTATGTCGTATTACTGGCAGCTTTGTTTACATATCAAACAGCTGATTGTAGAGGCAGTCGATGATGACATGCCATATTCTTTACCGAGTGCAATGGTTCTAACGCCTTCTTCATGTTTCATAATAATTTCTGCACTGTTTATTATTAATATGTTAAAAAAATTTCGGAATGACCCATAATTTTAATGTAAAATGCAAAAATATTTAAGAGACCAACAAAGTCGATGTTCACTGTAAACAAAGTTAAACTGAGAAGCGTTGTTGGGTGATTCAATCAGCTGATGGGTGCATAAAAACTGTTCCTGTACTGTATATATTATCAATATGTTAACTAAATTTCAGAATGACCAATAATTTTAATATAAAAAATGCAGAAATATTCAAGAGACCAACTTTCTTGATATTTATTTCACTGGAAACGAATGTAAACATAGAACCAATTACTGTGTTGGCGGACCTGCCGATCAGCTGATGCGCACAACAAAACGTGTTTGTCGTAAGGATTTCGTTAATTGAAGTTCTGTTTGTTAATCGAACTAAAAATCTTTATGGGAGCTAATCCAGTTGCCTCTGAAGATGTCTTGAATAAAGACGAAAGCTAAGGTGCTCCGTTGTTTCCATTTTCCGTGTGATTTTATCAAGATTTATCTTATCCACGTTTCATTGTGGATCTACATGATATATATATATATATATATATATATATATATATATATATATATATATATATATATATATATATATATATATATATATATATATATATATATATATATATATATATATATATATATATATATATATATATATATATATATATATATATATATATATATATATATATATATATATATATATATATATATATATATATGGTCCCTCGGTTAACGAACGGTTCGGTTAACGAATTACCTTCCATAAGAATGTTCAATTTGGTTAACGGAACAAATATTTGATTAAGGAAATCCTTACGAACATCACGTTTTGCTGTGAGCATCAGCTGATGGGCTAGCCTGCCAATTCAGTAATTTGTTCTATGTTTACATTCGTTTCCAGTGGAGTAAATATCAAGAAAGTTGTGCTCTTTAATATTTTTGCATTTTTATATTAAAATTATAAGTCACTTTAACATTTATTTAACATATTGATAATATATGCAGTACAGGGAACTAGTTTTTTGTGTGCCCATCAGCAGCTTGACTCAGCCACAAGGTGTCAGTTGGGCTTTGAAAACAGTGGAGTGAACATCTATTTTGTTGGTGTCTTGAATATTTTTTAATTTTTCATTAAAATTATTTTTCATTGAAATTATTGGTCATTCTGAAATTTAGTTAACATATTGATAATATATAGTGCAGTGCAGTGTTGATTTAAAGAAACTAATCTTGAATTACACCTAGTGAACTTAAAATTTTATTGGTGAAATGACGGCATCAAGCATGGGTCCCCTGAAAGGTGATTTCTCCTCCATCCCCACTTCCTTCTCTTCTCCCTTCTCCTCCACCCCCACTTCTAATTCCCATCATCATCATCAACCAGGAACCTTCTACATACACACCTCAAAGTAAGTAGTGTACTTTACTGCATTTTTTTTTTTTACTTTGTATGTACTTTTCGGCGAGCTGGAACCAATTACCCAATATCCCATTGAAACAATGGATTCGGTTAACGAACGACCCTCTGGAACGAATTGTGTTCGTTAACCGAGAGACCACCGGAATTACACTTGCCTAGTCATTTCTCCCTATGATTCCCTACGAAATGTCGGCATTTCTGCCATCTCTGGCATTAAAGTCACCAAGGAGCACAACCTTACCTTCTCTGGGGATAGAGGTTTGCACTCTGTCGAGGTCGAAGTAAAAGGCCTCGTTGATGTCATCTTTTGCATCCAGTGTTGGGGCATATGCAATGATGAAAAAGCATAACGTGAGTGATTCAGTGGGACTTGGAGAGTCATGAAGCGCGCGTTGATCCCAACAGACATTTCAGTTAGCCTATGTAGGATGCATTGGCAGATAGCAAATTGGCAAAGCCAACTCCATAAAAGCGGTTTCTCTCTGCAACAGGCTTACCCTTCCAGAAGAAGGTATAGTTAGACCCCCATTCTATGAATTGACCCTTGTCTGCGAGCTCGGACTCACTAATGGCTGCTATGTCAATGTTATACCTAGCCAGCTCTTTTGCCACAAGGGCGGTTCTTCTTTCAGGATGCTCATTTGTGCCAGTATCCAGAAGGGTCCTGACATTCCATGCAGTGACCATAAAAGGTTGTATAGTTTGTTTTTGTTTTGATCTGTTATTATGATTGTGTTTTCGACCGCATAAGGATGACCTAATTGGGTGCGGTTGCTCAGTTATGTTGGTTCTTTAGGCAGGCTATGTTTAGGGCACCTTTTCTAGCCCCCTTCCCATGTGGGGTGAGCAGAGTGGCTCCTCGTAAGGGCTGCTCAGTTGCACAGACAGGACCGGATTGCACTACTGCCTAGATCCCAGTACATAAATGACCATCTTATCGATGCCGCCCATGTGCAGAGTTGTGACTAAAGACTCCTGGCAGTCATCTCTGCCTGTCCTCGTCGCCACTCGTCCGTCGCCATAGGACTTTTGGGGGTATAGGGGTTTTGATGACGATGAGGAGTATGATGGCTGCATGTGAGGCAGGAGTGCAGGCTGCAACCACAAATCTTGGCTCTCCCTTTTCCTGATCCAGTGGTGCAAGTGTTGCAATGACTGGGGAGAGGGAGAGTTGCAATGGACTGCCAATAGCCCAGTTTGTTGGGTTTTGCCTTAGTAGCCTGTTCATCATGCATTGCCTTCGTCCACCAGTGTGGCAGTTTTGTTCCCATGGTGGTCACCTCTTCTGTCTATACTGTCGCTGAGGTCTTGTTGGAGCTCTGTAAGCATGTCTGCCTGATGCTGGGCTCCAACGCAGATTTTTTGTTCAGGTTTCACTCCCGTAGCCTTATACCTACCAAGTTTAATCCGCAAGGCAGCGGGGCAGTGGTTGGTAGGTGCCAGGACGTGTCCCCATGCCAGTGGGCCTATGCGCTGTCCCTCTGGGTCCCACTGCTACTCCGAGATCCCCTACTGGCCTAGCCTGGGCCCACGAAGCACCCAGTTAATGTGTGTTGCCACGAAGAAGCACAGCAGGAGTCTTGATGGTGAAGAGGCTGTGTACTGGCAGGGGAGGACTTATGCAGGTTGCTTTAATGTTCGCCACGAGGACTAGTCAGCGGCAGTAGCTGAAAGCAACAGAAAGCAAGCAGTGCTTGCACCATAACACTAACATAATGCTGCCACACTAGATGCATTACACCACCCTGTGTTTGCACACAGAGAGTAATGACACATTATATCTCATATACCTGTAGTACTAAAAAAAAATCTTTACCTGTGACTGTCTAAACAATAGCTGATCAGACCATAGAGATTTTCTAATCCAGTTTGCTCAGTAAACACCATCGTACTTTGTCGTGCTAGGTCAGCAAATCTCCAGAACACAATACATTTTGCTGGCTTGGCATCTCTTCCTGCTCTTCCACTCTCCTGTAAGTATAATGAATTGAAAAATATTCATCACTCACCTCCCAACACTTGTTAATATTCATCACTCACCTCCCAACACTTATTAATATTCATCACTCACCTCCCAACACCCATTAATATTCATCACTCACCTCCTAACATTTATGAATATTCATCACTCACCTCCCAACACTTATTAATATTCATCACTCACCTCCCAACAATTATTAATATTCATCACTCACTTCCCAACACTTTCTAATATTCATCACTCACTTCCCAACACTTATTAATATTCATCACTCACTTCCCAACACTTGTAATATGATTCATTCTTTAAGTTTGATTATGCTTAATTTTTGTCAGTTTGTTGTTTTTGTTATTACAGGTTATATATTTTCACCAGTACATGGAAAGTCATAACAAGCGGTGAGCAGCTGCTGTGTGTGTGACTTAACCAATGTGATGTTCTTGGTGACAGTTAAAGACAGTGTTGAACAAAAGAAGATCAGCATACAGTACAGTATACTGTGTGTGTGTGTGTTTAGTCAAGGCATCTAAAATTCTTCAACCCTTTCCCTTTTTTAAGTTCCTACATTACACTGGGTATTACTATATTATGGAATTGTGGTGAAGGTCAAGGATAATTTAGTTTTCTAATTTATTCAATACCAGTTATGAGTTTGGAGCCTTGATGCATGAGGAGGATTCAACCCCCAACACTTGAAGGCCATACACAGCTGCTGATCCCAATACTGTATACCATTATATATACTGTATAATCAATTGGAAGACTGAACTTAAACACCTAAATATATGTAATTCCTTATATAATATAGATAAAATCTCTTCCTCACCTGGTAAAAGTTCTCCATGGACTTAGATATACAATGATGAATAACAAAGCGAACATCAGGTTTGTCGATCCCCATACCAAATGCAATGGTTGCCACCACAGCCTGTAACAAACACTTAACTTTATACAAAGTACAGTATAAAAATTTTTAGACACATATTTCCAGAGGCACATATGACTTCAAACTACTCGGTGCAATTTTCTTGTGGGTGCCGGGCTTGTAACTTATGTCAACATTTGCTGGGACCAACTTTGGCCCGAAATTGTTTACGATTTCAGGGGATTTCCGACGATTGACAAAGAAATTGCAGACATTGTGAAACTTGCAAAGGAAATTGGAGGTGATGGTTTTGATGACATGCAGAAAGAGGAGGTAAATGAAGTGTTGGACTCGCATTTTCAAGAACCAACAAATGAGGAGCTTGAAGAGCTTATAGCACATGACAGTAAAAGTGATGATGATGCAGAAGTGGAACCTGTAAAACCTAAATTAACAATTAAGGTGACCTTTGAATTCCTCCTGCAAGTAACTGAACTTGGTGAGAAGTGTTTCGACATAGATCCAATAATGGAGAGAAGTTTAAAGTCCAAAAGGGCCCTTCATGATATGTGTGTCATACAGAGAAATTTTGAAAGATCTGCATTGAAAAAGCAAACAACAGAAAATAACAGACTTCTCCTCGAAGTTAAGTTTGCCCAGCGTGACGTTTTCGAGGAACCTAACCCCCACATTGGGCGAAGGTTTACTGTATTGGTATAACTATGATTTAGTATCATAACTTTACTTAGCCGAAGTGCTTAACGCCCGGAGTTTTAATCCCACTCTTCCATTAGTGGGGGTCATTGTGCTTCAACCTGAGTTAAAAAAAAATGAAAAAGTCACGAAGGACACTGCACTACAGTGCTTGATGAGGAGGTGTGGCGGTAAAATTAATTAATTCCAATAAAATTAACTTATAGGATTAGAATTACCGTATTTTACGGCATATAAGACGCACATTTTTGTCTGAAAAATGGCTAAAAAATCAGCCTGCATTCTATATGTGAAGTTGAGGTCTCCCCGTTGCTGTCTCCAGAAGGATAAATTCTACCTAACCCAACTCCAGAATTAAAAATATGTTATTGCTTACTTAAACATTATTATTTTTAATTAATTAAAAAATAATTATTGTAAATATAAAAAGTCGATCTATACCTACTCTGCACTGTATTGAAGACGATAACCTGAGACGATTAACATCATGTACGGCAGACACCCAACTCTTCAAAGGTAGCTAAGCAGTAACTATTTCTGAACTCTTATGAGTATTACAATCTATTAATGCCATACCTGCAACATAAATTTTTCAATCTACAAATACCTGATATAAATGAAGATTTGCAGATAACTTTCTTTTCACATTTACATCTGTTAACATCACTGGCCGCATTGTAGCCAAGTTAGACTAGTCTCTGTATTCACCAGGCTACTGGGCCAAGCTGTTGTTTTTCAACTCGTATTTTTGGGTAAATACAGGTATACGGAACTTTCTTCATTTATTTTTACTGATATACATGTACACACCAACCTACATACATATTGTGAAAAAAGTAAAAGAAATAATTGTCCTAAGGGCAAACACATAAAAGGAATAAGGTATACATTTCTTTGCCCATGAGTTAGCTGGCTTATTGGGGAAGCGGGTGGACGGCTGGGCGGGTGGTGGTGGTGGTGGTGGTGGTGGTGGTGGTGTGTGTGTGTGTGTGTGTGTGTGTGCGTGTGTGCGTGTGTGTGTGTGTGTGTGTGTGTGTGTGTGTTGGGGAGGGGGTGCTAGAGAATCGGCGGAGGTAGCGTCGCCTTTGCTATGATGAACAGGGAGTACAGACGTACAGTACAGTACAGTATATGCAAATAACAACTGTATTAAACTTTCATTTGGCTTTTATTTATTGGTTCAACAATACAATATTTTTTGTTGTAACTTATTTATCAGTATTATTTGTATTCATTCCTCACATTTACTGGCACTGTACAATATATAGTTTTAAGAAAACTATGGCTACAATGAGGAAAATACAAAAACAAGTTTTTTCCTAAATACTCCTTGCTAAACCGGGGATGTGTCTTATATGCCGTAAAATATGGAAATTTAATTTACCGCCACACCTCCCAGTCAAGCACTGTAGTGCGGTGTCCTTCGTGACTTTTTTTAAAACTCGGGTTGAAACATGATGACCTACATCAATAAAGAGGGGGATTAAAACTCTGGGCGTAAGATATTGCCGTCCTGTGAATACATGGTTCAAGAATCAATTTGGGAATTACAGTAGAGATGGATTCAGTTTAACCAACTTTTCAAGGGTCATCTTTTCTCCACATACAGTATACAGCGGAAGACAGCTGTTAAAGATGTTGTTGTAACAATAATGGTTGTTTCACCTTCTGTGCGTAATGTATACTGTAGAAGCCTCTGACCTCAGTCATAATTTGACTTAGCTTGCCTGGCCAGCATAACTGTGCAGGACTTTAATATGGAAGGTAATGACATCCTGAGAAGCAGTGAGGCTGATGGGTTTACAAGCGATAAACTAACTGAGAATCCAGACTGACTGGTTGATTGACTGACTGACTGAAAGACTGGTTATCAGGTTGCCGAGGAACTTCCACTGAGGATAACTATTGTCTCTCTATTCATAAGAAAGGTTTTGAGTGAGCTGTTAATATCACAGTATATTAGTTAAGATAAGGAGCTAGTGGTCATTACAGCACAGTAGTGCATCATCAACATCACACTGAGACAATAAATGTAAAAATGCAGTATCAATAAACTTACAAGGAAGATATTCAAAATGTTACTAAAACTGTTCCATAACAACTATAAAAAATACATTAAAAACAAAACAAAATTATTTTGCAATTTTACCTGATATTCATTTTCTACCCATTTTCTGTGTACTTTGCTTCTAACATCAGCCTCGAGCTGAGCATGATAGGGAGCAACACGCAAATTTTTAGATCTGAGTTCTTTGACCAGTTCAACTGCGTCCTTAATGGTCATGGTGTAGATGATCCCAGACTGGCCTTTGAACTCCCGCTCAAGTAAGTGTTGTAGTTGAGACATACACTCTGCCTGGACTGATGGCTTGGGTCGTACCTATAATGGAAATATACAGCATACAATACAAGCACATATATAATACAGACCTAGACACAGTAAACCACCAGTATGTCCCAATAGTGCCATGATATAACATGGCAATGTATCAAATGCTGTGTTATATCATAGTACTGTATCCCAACAGTACCATGATACATCATAGTAATGTATCCCAACAGTGTCATGATACATCATAGTGATGTATCCCAACAGTGTCATGATACATCATAGTGATGTATCCCAACAGTGTCATGATACATCATAGTGATGTATCCCAACAGTGTCATGATACATCATAGTGATGTATCCCAACAGTGTCATGATACATCATAGTACAGTAGTGTGTCCCAACAGATTCATAATATATTACGGTAACGTGTCCCAACTGTCCTGTGTTATATCTTAGTGATATGTCACAATTTTACCATGATCTAGTCCCCAACAGTACTGATGCTCCTAAACTTATAAGAAAAACTGGGTTGAATTTTGACATTGTGAAATCAGTGTTTTTAGCAGTGTGTGGCCGAGGTGATGCTGGGTGGTGGTGTGTGGCCGAGGTGATATTATAAAAGTAATTTCTAAGAGAGACGATGAACTCTTAACCCTTCCACACCCAGCAATAATAGTGATGATAATTCACAAACTGACTTAATCATTACCTCATAAAATAAATTAGGTCGATTGAAGGAAGCTTTGAGAACTAAACAACCTCCAATGTTAAGAATTTTCTGCACATCTTGAATTACTCTTGAAGTTGCTGTGGCCGTCAATCCCAGAATTGGTGTGCCGGGAAACATTTTACGCATAATACCGAGATACTTGAAGTCTGTAAGAAAGTTTGGAATTTTAGGCTGAAAAATACTTACACATGAAATCCAAGTTATAGCCAATGTGAAGTATGGATCACCTGAAGATTAGACCCCCAACTTATTTCATCTGATGATAAAACACCTTAATGATACCTGGGGGAGTTGAAGTGGGTTAGGTTAAACTATATTAAATTAGATTGCATTAGGTAAGTTAGGTTAGGCTAAGTTGCATTAGGTTAAGTTAGCATTAGTTTAAGATTGTTTAGCATTAGATTAGGTTAGGTTAGGTTCCATTAGCATCAGGTTAGGTACAGTATATAAAACATAAGCAATACATACCTGGCCTAAAGTCATGACCCCACTGTGAACAGCAATGGACTTCATCTATTGCTAAGCGAGCAAATCTACCCATCTGGTGCATCTTCTGTAACTTCGTCATGAACCTCTTAGATTTTGCTAACTTCTCCGGTGTTACATAGAGCAACTTCAGTCCACTGCTGGCACTGATCATATCCTGAAGGTACAATGCATATACTCAGTGCTGTAATAGCAACTTTTTCCTTGACCATACACTGCTCTCACCACTAGTCAGCAAGAGAAGGGGAAGTGCTTAGTACGATTATTACAATAGTTTCACAAGAAAATAATCATTAAAATAAAATCTTTATTAGCAAAGTTTATACATTATATATGTACTATCCTACATCAATCTAAAATCATGACTTCTCTGGCAAAATTTCCAAATCTAATGTCTATATTTGCCATTACCTGTACGGTACTATAAAAATTTACAAATTAGTCCAGAAAATGCAGTAAAGACCAGGGGATGGGCACAGCTCTGGTGACCTAGTTGTCATCAGACATGTTGAAGCAAAGTTTTATGACTTGTTCCCTTCCTAATGCCAACCCACAGGTGAGAACTGGCAATGCAAAGTCACAACTTCTGAGGTAATCAAACACTACCTGCCTACCTTCACCATTCCTTCCTATTCAGCAATGCAATTTTTTGGGGGGAGAACTGAACATTATTTTACCCATTTGCTTTGTTATTCACTATCTAAATGTTTATCAAGGAACCTAACCCATTCAAGATAACAAGGTACAGGTTGACAACCCTTTATCCGAAATTCCAAAAACCGAAAAGCTCTGAAAACCGAAAGTTTTTTTGTGGAGCAATTTTTTTTTTTTTGTAACAGCCCACCCGGGCACAGGTCACTGACCCACATCGGGGCCTGGGGGGTGAAAATGTAATAGTAATAATAATTATAATATTAATGATAATACAGTAATAATAATAACTATTCATAGTAAATAAAAATTTTAATAAAAAATACACAAAAATAAAATAAGAATGATAACAATGATAATAATAACAATAATACTGTAATAATAAAATAATAATAATAATAATAATAATAGAAATACAAGAATGAAAAAAGATCAAAAGTGAGAAACACGACCTAGACCTATGAATTATTATTATTGTTATTATTATTATTATTATTATTATTATTATATTTTAGCCCCAGGCCCCAATGTGGGTCAGTGACCTGTGCCCGGGTGGGCTGATCCCTGTATAATAATAAAAAAAAAAAAAAAAAAACCCTAACCATTTTGAAAACCGCAGAATTCCAAAAACTGAAATGCATCTGGTCCCAAGGATTTCAGATAAGGGATTGTCAACCTGTATACCTGTACATCACAGGCAGTAGTATGAATCCTGTCTCCTGTACAGTGATAGTAAATATTAAAATGTGTACATACACCGTGGACTCCATTAACTTCTTCTTTGGTGGAGGATGCACATAACATTCTGGCGTTAATCCCCCGAGCCTTCAGACCCATCATCTGGTCCTCCATCAGTGACACTAGAGGAGACACTACCAAGGTGATGCCTGTAACAGAACAAGTCAACACACTAACAACATATTTTATATCCATTGCCTTAAAGAACCAACAGAAGCCAATATATGCAAGCAATTATCTATAACACATTATCTATCTACATGTAATAAGTTGTCTCTACCAAATTTTCCATTCTTATAAAAATATGTATGGAGATTCTTTTACACCAGTTGCCTCTGTCTACCCAACAGTAATTAGGGACTTACATGCTAAGTACTTGGTGGGTCAGTGATCTGGCTTGCTGGGTTATTCCTTGACAGTGGGTCACACTGTGCTCAGGGTTTGGTTGTTGTTTTGGTGATAACTTTAACAACTTATACAAATTCACCCAAGGGTCAGCCAACCTCTAACAAGGGTTAGAGAAACATAAGAACATAAGAAAATAAGGAGTCTGCAATAGGCCAGTTGGCCTGTGCATGGCAGCTCCTGTCGAGAGTTACTACCACTCTCTATCATCCATGAATCTATCTAGCCTCCTTTTTAAACTTTCCAGTATTCCAGCACTTACTACAAAGTTGCTAAGCTTGTTCCACTCGTCCACCACCCTATTTGTGAACCAGTTCCTTCCTATCTCCCTCCTAAACCTAAACTTATCCAACTTAAATCAGTTGCTACGAGTCCTATCCTGCTCGGATATTATAAGAACTTTATCCTTTATTGATTCCTTTCACCCACTTAAATACTTCTATCATATCTCCCCGCACTCTTCGTCTTTCTAGGGAAAGCAAGATTAGTTTCTTTAACCTATCTTGATATGGAAGGTTTCTAAGTCCCGGAATCATCTTCGTCATTCTTCACTGCACCGACTCCAGTGAATTGATATCCATTCTACAATAAGGGCACCAGAACTGAACAGCATAATCGAAGTGAGGCCTAACTAGCACAAGATATAGTTGCAATAAGACTTCTGCACTCTTATTACTTACACTTCTAGATATAAAACCTAATACTGTTTGCCTTATTTCGAACATTAACACAATGTTTTCTAGGCAGTAGGTCCGGGCTTACAAGTACCCCTAAGTTTCTTTCACAAATCAACTTCTCTAGGTTGATGTTGTTAAGGCTGTATACATTGACAGTATTTGTTCTTCCAATATTAAGTACGCTGCACTTGCTGGTGTTGAATTTCATTTGCCATTTTTCTGACCACTCCTGCAGTTTATTTAAATCCTCCTGTAGTACATTTGCATCCTGCCCTGAATTAATCTGCCGCCCTATTTTGGTGTCATCCGCAAACTTGCTTATGTCACGACTGATCCCAGCATCTAGATCGTTTATGTAGATTATGAACAAGAGTGGGCCCAGTACTGACCCCTGGGGAACCCCACTGGTTACACAGCCCCACTCAGATTTAACACCATCAACACTGACCCTCTGTGTTCTATCGGTGAGCCATGATTTTATCAAATTTAAAACTTTCCCCTCGATACCATGAGCCTTAACTTTTCTGAGAAGCCTCTGATGCAGTACTCTGTCAAACGCTTTGCTAAAGTCTAAGTAAATAACATCGTAATTTTCGTCATTATCTACTACCTCGAAGACTGTCCTAAAAAACGTCAGCAGATTTGTTAGACAAGATTTTCCCTTTGTAAACCCATGTTGAGAGAAGATCATGCTTGGCCACTCATATTTTAAAGGGAATAAAGTGTTGAAACATAAAATAGAAAGAACTACATTAATATTAATACAAGAGGTGAGAATCCTGTCTACTACTGATATGTTATATCTACCTTTAGACACAAGAGCTGGCAGCTGGAAACACAAACTCTTGCCTCCTCCTGTAGGCATGATGAGGATACAGTCAACACCTGAGAGAGTCGCATTTATGGTGGGTAGCTGGTGCTCTCGTAGTGCTGGGATCTTGAACACACTCTTCTGTACATTCTCCAACTCTTTTGACCAAGAAAAATCTGTATAATAAAATAATAAAATAAGTCTTCACTTGTTATTCTGAGCACTGGACTGGGGAAGAAAGTAAATTTTTGCTTTTAAAGGGTATAATAATAATGGTCCTCGACTGAAGAATTAACTGTCTTGATGTAACAACCATAAAACAGATTAAGTTATAGTATTTATTTATATATTATTTTGTGAATTTTCCTTGAGAAATTGCTAGTTAAATACAGAGAGATCTGACATTTTTATTAAATAATATTTTTGAACTACTGTACAAATGACAAAGTGAGATATGATGAATGCATTATACATACTAAATGTGGCATTAATTTTCTTATATGATTTAGAGAAAACATATCATGATTATAACAAACTACTTCCCCACAAAAGATATACAGGTATCCCCCCTTTTTATGATGGGGTTACATTCCTGAAAAACCCATTGCAGGTTGAAATGTTGTAAATCAGGATCACTATAACATGAGGTTCAATGAGATACATTCCCACAGTCTGACACCCACATGTATCACTGAAAATAAAATTCCTACACTAATACTATACCTACAACTAGGGTTGGAAAAAAATATGATTTTTTTAATGAAAATCAAAATAATCGATTTTTTTAATAATCGATTTTTTACTGTACAATATCCGTACGAATATAATATATTAATAAGAAAATAATACTTGCGATTTTCAGAATTTTGAAATAAATGCTTCTATATTTATATAAAATAAATACTGTAATAATACATTTTGTTCATACAGTATAGGTCATGTAGTAGAACTTATAGAAGACAAAATCATTAGTAAAGTTCATAGTACAGTGTTGACAACCCTTTATCCGAAATTCCGAAAACCGAAAGTTTTTTGTGGGGCTATTTTTTTTTTTAATAGGATTAGCCTTCCAGGCATAGATCACTGACCCACATTAGGTCTGGGGGCGAAAATGATAATAATAATAATAATAATAATAATAATAATAAAATAAAATATTAAAATTAATAATAACAATAATACTGTAATAATAAAATAATAATAATAATAATAAAGAAATACAAGAATGAAAAAGAGATCAAAAGTGAGAAACACAACCTAGACCTATGAATTATTATTATTATTATCATTTTTATTATATTTTCGCCCCCCAGGCCCTGATGTGGGTCAGTGATCTATGCCCGGGTGGGGGAGAAAAAAATTCTGAAAACCGAAAAATTCCGAAATCCGAAATGACCCTGGCCCCAAGGATTTTGGATAAGGGATTGTCAACCTGTAATTACTTAAATACACATAATTCAGTGAGGTATATAATACTGGTGACTGAGCATGTAAGTAATATCTTCTAGGTCATACATGAACACAGACCAAGACAAAATGAGTAAATTCACCCAGCAGATATTCCTCACTGGGTGATGGCTCAGGGAAGAATTGCCAACCAATAGTTATGTTAAAAAGAAGCATTAGTAAAACCATAGTAACCACTTAAATAAACCTAATTTAGTGAGGTAATAATGCTGGCTGAGTACAAAAATAACTTCATCAGTCATACATGAACATAAAGAATGTGTTGTGACTGTCCATCTATCTGTATGTTATTATAGAGTTTTAGATGATAAATAGTTAAGGAGTACACAAAATAGTGTAAAATATCTTTATTTTTGTGTAGATTTTATTTAAAATAAAAATAAATGTGAGTATAATCAATGATATTTTCTCTGATTATAATCGATTAAAATCACTTGATTAAAATGGTTTGATTTTAATCATGCCAACCCTGTAACAATACAATTAAAAAACACCCACCACATCATTAAGACCAAGCCTGGTCATCATCACATGTCCCCTTCAAGGCTAAGGGGACTCTTGACGGTGGAGTAGAGATGTTACTCTGACTTCCACACAGGTTCACAATGTCAAGCTTCTCCTCCAGAGACACAGTTTTCCTGGGTGCCTTGGCCTTCCCAGACATTCTCAAAGTTACAATGCTCATTTCACAGTCACAAAAACAGAGCGAAAGCACTTCGTCACATAAACAGAGCAAACGATGATCACGGAAAACTAAAAACAACGATAGCAGCACACACTGGTCACATTATGTTCACAACAACAGAGGCAAGCACTTTACAGTCACAAAAACATAACAAAAATCACTTCACAGTCACCAAATCAGAGTATAATGTGAATGTTAGTGATGTCCTCTCATTGTAAGGTAATAAAAACACCGACGATAAGTAACAACACAGATACCGACCGCCAGGCAAGATCTACTGGTGATCTGTTCTCCTACGGCACTCATCTTTGGTTACCCTTTCTTCGGGATTACGGGGAAACCTTTGTTGTGGCCCTCAACATCTCCAAAGCATTTGACAGGGTATGGCACAAGTCTTTACTTTCTAAACTTCCTTCTTATGGTTTTTCTCCTCCACTCTGATGTCATTTATAGCTTCCTTGAGAACTAATCCATGGCAGTTGTTGTCGAGGAACCGATCTCTCACTCTTTCTCTACCTCTACCAATAGTGGTGTTCCACAGGGTTCTGTTTTTTCACCTACTCTCTTTTTATCAATAATTTACTTCACATTGCGACTAATTCTATCCATTCTTATGCTGATGACTCTTCACTCTTCTCATTTATCCTTTCTCCTTAACTCTCAAGCTAGATTGGTTTCAAAAGCTGATATCATTTCTTCTATCAATGTGGATCTGTGCAGTAGCCCCGAATGGGGAGATAGAAATTTGGTCAAATTCAATACTTGTAGTAAGAAAACACAGTATACAAGGTTATTCACCAATTACACATTCCAAAATAAAAGATCTCCCACCAATCACATTTCAGGATGTAGTCAATTTGCCAAATTCTAAAATACCCATAGATATGTTAGGCCTCACCATTTCCTCTAATATGGCATGGAAGCCACACATCCACAACACAGATAAAGCTGCCTCTCGAAAGCTGGGAATGTTGTACAGATGCCGTAGCTACTTCACTCCTAAGCAGTTGTTTCAGGTATATAAGAGATTAATTTGTCCTAACTTCGAGTACTGCTCTTATATATAGGGTGGTTCTTCTTTTGTCCAACTGTTAGATAGGATGAAATCAAAGGCATTTCATCTTATTAATTCTCCTCCTTTAGTTGATAATCTCTCTTCCCTTCAATGTTACTTCACTCTTTCTTTTACAGGAAGTGTACTTTAACGGACAATGTTCGGTGGATTTGGCATCCTGTACACCGCCGGCAAGGCAGTTGGCTCGTAACACCCGTCTTGTCTGTGGTGCCCACCGTTTCTGTGTGGATGTTGGTCACACTAGAATAACCCTTATACTGTAGTATATCCTTCTTTCCTCACACAGCCAAATTGTGAAATGCTTTGCCTTCTTCCTGTGTTTCCACATCTTTGTGGTGTAGCTTAGCATATTCTTTTTCTCCTCTAATTTTGTGGGTTAAAGACCTGTGCCTGGGTGGGTTATTCCACCACCATTTTTTCTTTTTTTTTTTTTTAGCTTTTGAGCTGCACAATCATGGATATGTGGAATCACCATGGAACAAAGTTTGGGACTATAGTGCACCGGGTGGCAATGTGCCAGTATATCGCTGATGGTAAGTGCACCGAAAGATGTGTTCTATATTCCATGTTGGCTGGACAATGACAATTGTTCATGCAAATATTTTTTCTCGTAAATAGGAAGGGGAGGGGGGTGTTACATCACCATCGTTCAAGTGAAATATCGTATACACCATGGGGAGATTGTAAATGGGGGATACCTGTATCTTGTTACACTTTGGAAATAATGTTATTGTTTACACACTTTCCATCCCAACAATACCCAGGTCTGTCACATCTAAAAATAATAGGTCAGTGACACCTACAAATATACTCTCTCCCAGCTTAACCTTAACATCTACAAATATAGTGTCTCTACCAGTTAACCATAAAACCTACAAATATACTGTCTCACCCAGCTTAACTATAACACCTACAAATGTACTGTCTCACCCAGCTTAGCCATAACACCTACAAATATACTGTCTCACCCAGCTTAACTATAACACCTACAAATGTACTGTCTCACCCAGCTTAGCCATAACACCTACAAATGTACTGTCTCACCCAGCTTAACTATAACACCTACAAAATAGGGGTGACAGTAGTCATAGGCTGAGAGCTGTTAGTGTTCACTGCCAAGCTACAGCACAAGTGTCTCATCAAGGGGTTCTGTAATGATTAACTTAAACTTCACTAGAAACACAGAACACATCCTACAAGGTGCTGCTTGTCTTGTTCTTGTCTGGCCCTAGTTCCCCATATACTGTATCATGCTACAGGTATATTTAAGAGAAGTGCCATTTAAACTGTACACAACAAGACAGACACAAACTAACCTTGTCTCTCCCAGTCATTCCGAGCCAGGTGAGCAGACTTTTGTTGTTGAATGGCATATATTAGCTTCTCTTTCTTGGCTTCTAACTTTTGTTTACGACCCTGAAGGATTTGTAGCTCTCGGGTAACATTTCTTAGTTCTTGTTCCACTTGCTTAAGAGAGGTTTCTGGATCTGAAAATATGAACAATTAACATTAAAAGCAACTCTAAGGCTCTTGTTTTCTAGTATATTCTGACAATAGTTGACCCACCTGTTCAGAAATGTGAAAGATCAAAATATGAGATCTCATTTTATAGCCCCTACGTGGAGTACCTCTGACTTCAATAACTTGTCTGTCCTGGCCGGGACATTTATAAAGTTCCACCAGGGGGTTACACTGTGTGTGTGTGTGTGTGTGTGTGTAGTTTAGGTTAAGTTGGGGAGGTTTAATTTGGTAAGGTGTGGAAAGACTGCTGAGAAGCATTTGCTCGCTTTGTGTTGGGTCAATCATTGGGAAGCACTTGTCAAGTTCAGACGTTACAACTGACATCATGGTGAGAGGAGCAAAGTTATTTATAACAAAAACTAAGAAAAACAAAAATATGAACATTCCAAATCTTTGCCATTTTGGAGGATATTCTTGAAAAAAAAAATATACCCGGTACTGCATTGCCTTCTATAGAAATATTTCCTTGACTTCCTGGTTATCCTGTGACACTACACCAGAGTACAGTATTACCCTACCTACTTTTAAGTCTAATTTGTAAGTGGCAATACATCATGACTTCTGCACCTTTGGCACTCCAGCTAACTGACATAAATATCATTGAACTATGTCTGATTGTAGCAGTAGTGAGTGATGATCCACCACTGTACTGCTAGTCTCGGGATATTCCAATAACATGATCTGGTCCAGAAAGTTGACCAACACTGACTTGGGTACACAAAATGGCAACACTGGAAGGGAGTAATGCATATTAACCAGTAACTTGAGGAAATGTTTCTATAGTAGAAGGTAAATGCTTTCGTTTGCCATAAAAAACCCACAGTTTTTTGGAGAATCATTTTATATTTTTTGCCATGAACACTCCAGAATTTTACACCATTTCTCCAGTGCTTACATCCGGGATGCTTCATCACTTTGTTTAATCCACAGAAATACTTCCCAGCTTTTGTTACATGCATACCAAGAACCATAAATTTTCAGAATTTTTAGTAAAGATGACAACATAAAAAGATAACTGTATTTGTACATTTTGTAATAAGTACCTGTACAGTACTCTCCAGCGGTCCGACTAATTACCCAAATGTAGCCGCAATGAAGTCAAATAATGGTCCTACATGAATAAATCAGACTGCTAATCACTTCTCGACTAGTATTTGGTGTCACAAAGTCACAAAAAATTGGAAAACTTACTTTAATCTGAGTTAATAGATCGCGTGCATGTACCGAGGGAGTGAGTAATTACCCAAATGTAGCCGCAATGAAGTCAAATGATGGTCGTACAAGCATAAATCGGGCTGTGAATCACTTCTCGATTATTATTTGGTGTCGTAAAGTCACAAAAAATTGGTAAACTTAATTTAATCTGAGTTGTGTTGTGTTGTGTTAGGTTAGGTTAGGTACATGCACTTGATCTATTAACTCAGATTAAATTAAGTTTACCAATTTTTTGTGACTTCGTGACACCAAATACTAGTCGAGGTTAGGTTAGGTTAGGTACATGCACTCGATCTATTAACTCAGATTAAATTAAGTTTACCAATTTTTGGTGACTTCGTGACACCAAATACCAGTCGAGAAGTGATTGGCAGTCCGATTTATTCATGTAGGACCATTATTTGACTTCATTGCGGCTACATTTGGGTAATTAGTCAGACCCCTCTCCAGTACTATATTACAGCAGTTTTGTTATTTAAAAAAAATAGGAGGGCGATTTTCACCTGAACAACTTTTCATCCAAATTTTTTCTTGCACAGGGGAACAGCTTAGCAGCTGCTCCTACATTATATGATTTAGCTGATAAAACGAATCAACCTCACTTAACATAACTAATCAGCCTAACCTAACTTAGGTTTAGTAAGTTAAGTTGATTCATTTTATTGCAGATTAATCATATTACTGTATCTAGCAATATTGTTAAGCTTTTGGAAGTGTTCTTTTGGCAAAAACAAAGTGTTCCAGGTGTAAGCAGGGGAGACATGGTATCATAGTGTGTGGCCATAGGTTGGCTCCAGGAAAAATAAATAAATAAATACAAATAATCTTACACAAATTACTTCTCTCAACTTTTTGGGATTTTCATAAAGTAAGAAAACACTGACCTGTTACAGAACAATTTAGTGAAATAGACAGTAAACATGCATCACTCTCTTCCAGTATTACAGAGACTGATGTACACAACACTGCAACACTTATCAATCTACTTAAAGAAAATTGTCTTAAAAAAAATTAATATTCTAGTAAGAAGTAACACAATTAGCACTTTCATATTTTGGTTTATTTTCTAGTTCATCATGCGTAAAGACTCTCTGTGGCCGTCAACTCAACCACATCACCATGTTTGTTTGAAGTTAAATTTGAACAGGAAACTCTTAAAGACATTAATGCTATTATGTTTCATACTCACTAAAATAAAAAAAATTTATAACATTTTTGTACAGATGATAAATTCAAATTTTTTACATTAGATACTGTACATAAAAAAAATTAATGTTTTAGAACAGCATTACCACCAGAAGGAGTTTCATTTCATTCATTTTTTCTACAATGTTCTTATCATTATAATGACTATTTTAAAATGGCAAATTTACTAGAACCTGACCTAACCAACCAAATAAACCTACATAACCTTACCTAATTTCTAAGCCAGGGTCGGACCCCCCAGCTATATTAAATAGAAAGTACTTATTTTGATATATGGTTCTGGATGAAAGAAACTTTGTTGAAGCGTCATGTTGTAATTTTACGTTTTTTTATTGACGCGCGAGTAAGCTTGGACCGAGCGGGTTGGTTGTAAAAAAAACATACAAAGTGCTGTGGAGTTCAGGTTAGGTTTCAACTTTGATTTCGTGTAGTGGCAACAAGTGAAACTTACCCATTTTTTCATTATCCCTATATGAGACAATATAGAAGTAGGTGTTGGCAGCTTCTAATTATTTACCTAGATTGGTTGAGTAGGTTACATTAGACTGGGTTAGAGCCTAATATGGAGAACTTCACAGCCGGTTCCCCTGTGTCGGTAACAGTACGTTCACTCACGGCAGGTGTCATTATGATAGGTTAGGTTAACTTAAACTGAACTAATAAACACTTTTTAACACATTTGCCATAACTACGACAGTATCCACTTTAAAACACAATGAAATTTCGGTGCTTTTAAATTCGTTTTCTTTGAAAAATCAGCGACTGTGAAGTTGTAAATATTTACCAGCTGAGTGGTGAAAAATATTTACAAAAAAGTACATAAGGCAAACCTATGTATGTACTCTACCAAGATGGTCTCTATACCTTTAATATTACACGTTGAGTCTGTTATTTCACAATCGCCCATAGTCCAAAAGAGAGTTTTACTTCACACAGCATGGAGCTCTGCCTCACAGCTCGTGTTGATGTTTACACCAGAGGGAGGGAGGGAGGGTCACCTGCTGGGGTAGTCAGATTTAGATTCATCACGGATTTCACTTTTGTTATTTTCTAAAATCTGATTCATGAACGGATCTGTCAGTTTTAATAATAATAATAATAATATAATAATAATAATAAAAAAATATTTATTCGGTAAATTTGTCATAAGGGTTTACAATATTTAAACATGTCTATAAACTATGCAGGTTCAGCATGATGACTATAGACACTGTAGGTATACGGTACATGAAGGCATGGGAGTAAAGTTATCTGTGTGCCAAGGTGGTACAGGTATACAATAACGATAAACAGTAAATCAACTTGACAAAGTATAGCCGAATAAGCAGTCATGTACTTATTTCCAGAATGGTCTTTCATTTCCGGGAGAGTCCTGTTGATGTGTATAGGTGATACCTGTATTGTACATAGTTCTCCTCTTTCTCCTAACTCTTCCTCCTCCTGCTTATCTTCCTCTTCATCCTCTTACTATCACCCACTACCACCACCACCACAATTATCACCCACACTACCACAAAAAGCGGACTGTGAAGAGCTGCAGAAGGACCTCTGTGGGCTCCAGGAATGGTCGAAGGAATGGCTGCTGAGATTCAATGTCACTTTTTTACTTTTTACTTTTATCCTCTTCGCCACTGATCGGCTTGTTAGCCGCTTGGGCGATCGGTCACGACTCTTTTCCTTTATATTCTTCACCAAAAGGTCGGCTCGCTAGCCGCCCGGGCGATCGGTCACGTCTCTGTCACGCACTGTTGGCAAATACTGGGCATGCACCGGCTCCTGAATGTACCTGAACCCGCTCCAGTGTTGGTCAAGTCTTCTCTTGAAAGAGCTCACACTCGGTGCCGTCACAACACTCTCTGGTAGATTGTTCCAAGAGTTTACAACCCTCACTCCGAAAAAGTTTGCCCTCACGGTTTTCCGGACTTGCGGCTTCTTCAATCTTGAGCTGTGACCCCTTGTGGGGCGAGCGTCCGCCAGCTCCAAGTAAGGACACTCAACTGAGTAGTGCCCCCTGAGATGCTTATAAACCTCAACTAGGTCCCCCCTTGCCCGTCTGTAGTATAAGCTAGGCAAGTTCAGGCGCTCCAATCTCGCAGGGTAGCTGAGATGCCGAAGTGCAGGCACCAGCTTGGTGGCCCTCCTTTGAACATTTTCAACCAACTGACAGTCCCTAGCATATCTCGGGGACCAGATGGGGTGACAGTACTCCAGATGGGGAAGCACTTCACTCCTGAAGATCGTCACGAGGGACGGACCGTCTAGATATCTGAACGACCTTCTTATAAGACCCAATAATTTATTTGCCTGATTTACCTTCTTCTCACAATGGCCCGAGAACTTCAGCTCATTGTCAACATACACACCTAGGTCCTTCTCACACACAGTCTCAACTAGTACATTTTCTTCATCCCGTTGGGACATATGGTACGCCTCCTTACCGTTGGTACGCCCCAGGTGCATCCTCTTACACTTCGTGACATTGAATCTCAGCAGCCATTCCTTCGACCATTCCTGGAGCCCACAGAGAGGATGCACCTGGGGCGTACCAACGGTAAGGAGGCGTACCATATGTCCCAACGGGATGAAGAAAATGTACTAGTTGAGACTGTGTGTGAGAAGGACCTAGGTGTGTATGTTGACAATGAGCTGAAGTTCTCGGGCCATTGTGAGAAGAAGGTAAATCAGGCAAATAAATTATTGGGTCTTATAAGAAGGTCGTTCAGATATCTAGACGGTCCGTCCCTCGTGACGATCTTCAGGAGTGAAGTGCTTCCCCATCTGGAGTACTGTCACCCCATCTGGTCCCCGAGATATGCTAGGGACTGTCAGTTGGTTGAAAATGTTCAAAGGAGGGCCACCAAACTGGTGCCTGCACTTCGGCATCTCAGCTACCCTGAGAGATTGGAGCGCCTGAACTTGCCTAGCTTATACTACAGACGGGCAAGGGGGGACCTAGTTGAGGTTTATAAGCATCTCAGGGGGCACTACTCAGTTGAGTGTCCTTACTTGGAGCTGGCGGACGCTCGCCCCACAAGGGGTCACAGCTCAAGATTGAAGAAGCCGCAAGTCCGAAAACCGTGAGGGCAAACTTTTTCGGAGTGAGGGTTGTAAACTCTTGGAACAATCTACCAGAGAGTGTTGTGACGGCACCGAGTGTGAGCTCTTTCAAGAGAAGACTTGACCAACACTGGAGCGGGTTCAGGTACATTCAGGAGCCGGTGCATGCCCAGTATTTGCCAACAGTGCGTGACAGAGACGTGACCGATCGCCCGGGCGGCTAGCGAGCCGACCTTTTGGTGAAGAATATAAAGGAAAAGAGACGTGACCGATCGCCCAAGCGGCTAACAAGCCGATCAGTGGCGAAGAGGATAAAAGTAAAAAAAAATTGCTATTCACCACCACGGTTATAACCCTCCACCACCACAGTTATCACCTTCCAATTATACTCTTCAATATGTACAAGTTAGGGGCATCATAATTTAACCTAATTACTGGTACGTAGCATCAAGTGACTCATCCTTTTTTTTTAATGTAGTCGAGGCAAAATACAGTTCACCTTTAGGGTCGCCTCTCTCTCTCTCTCTCTCTCTCTCTCTCTCTCTCTCTCTCTCTCTTTGTTCAGCTGTTGTGTTCATAGATGTTGATTATGATCAGTGGTAGAGCATTTACTCCAGGTGAAACAGGTGTACTCTACGCAAAACAGGTGTACTCTGGGTAAGACAGGTGTACTCTACGTGAAACAGGAATAATCTGGATAAGGCAGATGTACTCTACGTGAAACAACTGTACTCTGAGTAAGATAGGTGTACTCTGGGCGAAACAGGAGTACTCTGGTAAGACAAGTGTACTCTACGTGAAACAGGTGTACCCTGGGTGAGACGGGGACACTCGAACGTGAAACAAGTGTACTCTGAGAGATAAGTGTACTCTTGAGTGCGACAGGTGTATTCATGTTACTTTGTGTCTAATTTAACTCTCTCTCTCCTTTCCATTCTACTCTCTTTCCTTCTCCCTTGCTACTTTTCCTTCTCCCTTCTTCGTCTTCTCCCTCCTCCGCTCATTTACTAATTCCTTTCCTCTCTTCTCTCTGCTTATTCCATCTTTTCTTCTTGCTATCCACTCTTCTCTTTTCCTACCCACCGTTTCGTCTTCTCCCTTCCTTCTTTCTCATTCTCTAACTCTCTTCTTATTTTCCCTCACTCTCCCAACTCACCACACTCTTCCTCCCTCCAACACACTCCATTCTCCCTATCTCACCACCCCCCCCCCTTACTCTCTTACCCTCCCTCACTCCCTCACTCTCCCAACCTCCCCCTCTCCCTCACTCTCCCACCCTCCTTCACTCTTTCATCTCCTCCCCTCTGATATCCACCTTCCCATCCTCCACCCCCACCCCTCCCACCCTCACTGTCTCCCGCTAGCTCTCACAAACACACAAACGCTGGAATCTCATTAAACTGGGAAATGTTAGGACTTATTTATTAACTTGTGTTGGTCAGGGAAGACAGCAAGAAAAACCCTCCCACCCGGTAAACTGAGACTGTGTAAACCTGGGATAACGGGTGATACTGCTCTTACTGCCTCTAGTAAACTACTGTAAACCGGCGCTGAATATACGCAAGGTCAAAGGACAAATTGTGAACCCATCATCCACAACACCTACCACACACTACAACTATCATCCACAACACCTACCACACACTACAACTATCATCTACAACACCTACCACACACTACAACTATCATCTACAACACCTACCACACACTACAACTATCATCCATAACACCTACCACACACTACAACCATCATCTACAACACGTACCACATACTACAACTATCATCTACAACACCTACCACACACTACAACCATCATCCACAACACCTACCACATACTACAACTATCATCTACAACACCTACCACACACTACAACTATCATCCATAACACCTACCACACACTACAACTATCATCCATAACACCTACCACACACTACAACTATCATCTACAACACCTACCACACACTACAACTATCATCCACAACACCTACCACACACTACAACTATCATCCACAACACCTACCACACACTACAACTATCATCTACAACACCTGCCACACGCTACAACTATCATCTACAACATCTACCACACACTACAACTATCATCACAACACCTACCACACACTACAACTATCATCACAACACCTACCACACACTACAACTATCGTCTACAACACCTACCACACACTGCAACTATCTTATCTACAAACTACACACTACAACTATCATCCAGGAGGAAACACGTTATTATACAGTGTGTGGCAGATGGCTACGTTATTATACAATGTTTGGCAGATGAAACACGTTATTATACAGTGTGGCAGATGAAACTACGTTATTATACAATGTGTGTAGATGAAACGTTATTATACGGTGTGTGGCAGATGGTAACTACGTTATTAACACATTGCTGGCAGATGAAACACGTTATACAGTGTGGCAGATAGAAACGCATTATTATACGAATTGTGGCAGATGAAACACGTTATTATACAATGTGTATGGCAGATGAAACACGTTATTATACAGTGTGAATTGAAACGTTATTATACGGTGTGTGGTAGATGGCTACCTTCAATATACGGTGTAGATGAAACACGTTATTATACAATGTGTGGCAGATGAAACACGTTATTAGCGGTGTTGTGTTGGAGTAAACTACGTTATTATACGGTGTGTGGTAGATGAAACTTACGTTATTATACAGTGTGTGGTAGATGCTACGATATTATACAATGTGTGGCAGATGAAACACGTTATTATACAATGTGTGGCAGATAAAACACGTTATTATATACGGTGTGGCAGGGTAAACACGTTATTATACAATGTGTGGTAGACGCGATATTATACAATGTGTGGTAGATGAAACACGTTATATACAGTGTGTGGCAGATGAAACGTTATATATACAATGTGTGGCAGATGAAACACGTTATTATACAGTGTGGCAGATGAAACACGTTATTATACAGTGTGTGGCAGATGAAACACGTTATTATGCAATGTGGCAGATGAAACACGTTATTATACAATGTGTGGCAGATGAAACACGTTATTATACAGTGTGTGGCAGATGAAACACGTTATTATACAATGTGTGGTAGATGAAACACGTTATTATACAGTGTGTGGCAGATGAAACACGTTATTATACAGTGTGTGGTAGATGAAACACGTTATTATACAATGTGTGGCAGATGAAACACGTTATTATACAGTGTGTGGTAGATGAAACACGTTATTATACAGTGTGTGGCAGATGAAACACGTTATTATACAGTGTGTGGTAGATGAAACACGTTATTATACAGTGTGTGGCAGATGAAACACGTTATTATACAGTGTGTGGTAGATGAAACACGTTATTATACAGTGTGTGGCAGATGAAACACGTTATTATACAGTGTGTGGCAGATGAAACACGTTATTATACAGTGTGGCAGATGAAACACGTTATTATACAGTGTGTGGCAGATGAAACACGTTATTATACAGTGTGTGGCAGATGAAACACGTTATTATACAGTGTGTGGCAGATGAAACACGTTATTATACAGTGTGGCAGATGAAACACGTTATTATACAGTGTGTGGTAGATGAAACACGTTATTATACAGTGTGTGGCAGATGAAACACGTTATTATACAGTGTGTGGCAGATGAAACACGTTATTATACAGTGTGGCAGATGAAACACGTTATTATACAGTGTGTGGCAGATGAAACACGTTATTATACAGTGTGTGGCAGATGAAACACGTTATTATACAGTGTGTGGCAGATGAAACACGTTATTATACAGTGTGGCAGATGAAACACGTTATTATACAGTGTGTGGTAGATGAAACACGTTATTATACAGTGTGTGGCAGATGAAACACGTTATTATACAGTGTGTGGCAGATGAAACACGTTATTATACAGTGTGGCAGATGAAACACGTTATTATACAGTGTGTGGCAGATGAAACACGTTATTATACAGTGTGTGGCAGATGAAACACGTTATTATACAGTGTGTGGCAGATGAAACACGTTATTATACAGTGTGGCAGATGAAACACGTTATTATACAGTGTGTGGTAGATGAAACACGTTATTATACAGTGTGTGGCAGATGAAACACGTTATTATACAGTGTGTGGCAGATGAAACACGTTATTATACAGTGTGGCAGATGAAACACGTTATTATACAGTGTGTGGCAGATGAAACACGTTATTATACAGTGTGTGGCAGATGAAACACGTTATTATACAGTGTGTGGCAGATGAAACACGTTATTATACAGTGTGGTAGATGAAACACGTTATTATACAGTGTGTGGCAGATGAAACACGTTGTTATACAGTGTGTGGTAGATGAAACACGTTATTATACAGTGTGTGGTAAATGAAACGTTATTATACAGTGTGTGGCAGATGAAACACGTTATTATGATGTGGCGGGTAAACACGTTATTATACAATGTGTGGCAGATGAAACGTTATTATACGGTGTGTAGTAGATGAAACACGTTGTTATACAGTGTGTGGCAGATGGAAACGTTATTATACAGTGTGTGGTAGATGAAACACGTTATTATACAGTGTGTGGCAGATGAAACACGTTATTATACGGTGTGTGGTAGAATGAAACACGTTATTATGCAATGTGGCAGGATGACACGTTATTATACAATGTGTGGCAGATGAAACACGTTATTATACAGTGTGTGTGAATTAAACACGTTGTTATGCAGTGTGTGGCAGATGAAACACGTTATTATACGGTGTGGTAGATGAAACACGTTATTATGCAATGTGGCAGATGAAACACGTTATTATACAATGTGTGGCAGATGAAACACGTTATTATACAGTGTGTGGCAGATGAAACACGTTATTATACAATGTGTGGTAGATGAAACACGTTATTATACAGTGTGTGGCAGATGAAACACGTTATTATACAGTGTGTGGTAGATGAAACACGTTATTATACAATGTGTGGCAGATGAAACACGTTATTATACAGTGTGTGGTAGATGAAACACGTTATTATACAGTGTGTGGCAGATGAAACACGTTATTATACAGTGTGTGGTAGATGAAACACGTTATTATACAGTGTGTGGCAGGAGGTGAAACGGGGTGAAACATGGCCTGGCCTCACCATTTTCTCCTGTTGTGTCGGTTTCTGTTGCATCGTCGTTTTCTGTGAGGGTTGTTGAGGGTTGGCGAGGCTGGCACTGGCAGCGCTCACAAGTGTTCGGGAGGACGATCGGAGCAGTACCACGGTTGCTCTGACTCCCGTCCCTGGCCTAGTGCTTGGCTCCTCCCCTAACATCCGCGCCTCCCACAGTTCCATATATCTTTAAAAAAAAATCGTCATCATTATACCCGCGAGATGACGTATTAATGTTTATGTACCGAAGATAGTGGTTCGGTACTACTGAGAGAAGGTTATGAGGGTATAAAGAATTATCTAGGTGGTGGGTGTAGGTGGCGGTGAGCGTGGGTCGTCCTCCCGGCTACACTCACACCATTACCAGTAGCCAGGACGCCCCTCGTTGTGGCCCTTTTGTGGCCAGAGTGTGTCTCCTGCGGCAGTGCGAGCGACGCAATTCTCAGGTAAGTTCTACAATATGGAGGTTTTGTACCAGTTTTCCGCTCCCCCTCCCTCTGGGTCCTATAACCACCTGTAATTATCTATAAAACCCATCACACACGTCAGATACTAGATTAACGCCCAGGTAATATCCTTATCTCCTGGCTGGTGACCCTGCCTGGCCTACACCTCCTCGCTCCATATTTAATTTATGGTGACGACAAATATATCATGGTGTGTGTGTGTGTGTGTGTGTGTGTGTGTGTTAACTAACTCTTCAACAAGTACAAATACTCACCAGATTTAGGTCTCTCTCACACCTCTGAACCTGTGTACGTATGTAAGGTTCAGTTCAGGTACACACACACACAGCCATACGAGACGTGACGATCCTACCTGTATCCTGCTACCTATAATTACCTTATTGTAACCTGTAATTACCCTCATGTTACCTGTAATTACTTCACTGTAACCTTAGCTGTACCTACTGAGAAAGAAATTAGATATTCGTGTTAAAATAAGACTCCGCCATCTTGCCCTAAGGTAAAAGTTAAACATTGCCTTGAATTAATTAACATACTAATGAAGCGGTGAGTAATTAGCTGCCTAAATATCCCCCCCCCATCACCCCCTTCCCTGCCGTGAGGTGGCCAATGTTCACCTAATGTCTGTACAGTTACGTGCTTACCTATTTCGGTCTGAGATACATTTTCTATATGCATGTGATTATGTACATTTTTTCCTGTGTACATTTGTTTATGTGTACATCTTTTTCTATGTACATCTGTTTCTGTGTACACCTGTTGCTCCTGTGTACATCTGTTGCTCCTGTGTACATCTGTTGCTCCTGTTTACATCTGTTCTTGTGTACATCTGTCGTTTCTATGTTCATTTACTTTATGTCGCTCACGTTACCTGTTTCGTGGATTTCATATATCATCTATTTCGAACACCTGTCTAATACACCTGTCTCACACACATGTCTAATACACCTGTCTAACACACCTTGCTAATACACCTTTTACACACCTGTCTCACACACCTGTCCAACTTTTCTTATCAATATACCATTTTCTCTAAGATATCACATTTGTCGTACAATTTCCTCTCTCTCTCTCTCTCTCTCTTTACGTCTTTTCTTGTTTCATTTGCTTTTTCTCTCACCTTCTTCCCCTTTCTCTCTCTCTCTCTCTCTCTCTCTCTCTCTCTCTCTCTCTCTCTTTATTCGAATTGTCTCTAATACTTTGTAAATAACGAATACTTTCCCAATCACTTTCATAAACTGTTTACCAATCAAATCTTTTAGTTTCTTTAAGATTCGAAATGTCCTTCCAATCTATCCAGTCGCCTTCATTTATAATTAGTGTTATTTATAATCATCCTAAATTCCAATCTTCTCTAATCAATTTCGCGTCTCCCTTAATCATTTATCTAACCTTCCCAATCATTCCATAGTTTCAGAGTTATGTATATGGATAGAGGGAATGAACGTTGTGTAATGGCGTTCACAAGTACAAGCATCAAAGGCGTTCACAAGTACAGAGCATCAAGGCGTTCACAAAGTACAGAACATCAAGACGTTCACAAATTACAGAGCATCAAAGGCGTTCACAAATACAGAGCATCAAGGCGTTCACAAGTACAGAGTACATCATATGTTCACAAGTACAGAGCATCAAGGCGTTCACAAGTACAGAGCATCAAGGCGTTCATGGGCACAGAGCATCAAGGCGTTCTTGCAAGTACAGAGCATCAAGGCACCACAAGTACAGAGCATCAAGGCGTTCATGCAGCACAGAGTATCAAGGCGTTCACAAGTACAGAGCATCAAGGTGTCTACAAGCAGAGACATCAAGGTTCATAAGTATAAGGCGTTCTCTTAGGGAAAAACGTTGTGCCAGATTATTGTTGAATTTAAGAATGAGCGGGTGGGCGGGGTCTGAGCTACGACGTCGTCATCACTGGTGAATGGAAAGAGAGAGGAGGGTGCGGCGCTGATTACAGGATTACGAGAGGGGTGAGGGAAGCATGTGTTGATTGGTGGACACGAGTAGTGGGGGTGAGAGGGAAGCATAAAGTTGATTGGTGGAGACGAGTACCAGGGGGGGATCAGGAGGGAACCACGACGGTGATTGGTGGAGCCAGAGTAAAGGGGAGAGAGGAAACGACGCTGATTGGTGAAGAAGTTAGCTAAGGGGGGGGGTATATTTAAAGAGAACCGATTCACAACAAAGGTAGTAAGAGAGAGAGAGAGAGAGAGAGAGAGAGAGAGAGAGAGAGAGAGCTGTACTACAGTATATAAAGAGAGAGAGAGAGAGAATCTACCCATATAAAAGAGAGGAGAGAGAGAGAGAGAGAGAGAATCTACCTATATAAAAGAGAGAGAGGACCTTCCTATTTAAAGGGAGAGAGAATCTACCTATATATGAGAGAGAGAGAGAGAGAGAGAGAGAGAGAGAGAGAGAGAGCCTACCGACACATCAGCATCATTATACATGTTCCAGAGAGATGTAGTGAATTACTTTGAGTAAATGGTCTTCATGCGTGGCGCAGTATACCTCAGTCAGCGGTATACTGCTGTATTGTTCAGTAAGGTCTACCTGGTAGCTGTACGCAGTTAAGCTCGATGAAGGAGTCCACCTAGGTGTTTGTTTTTACTCTAAGGGCCACTTCATAGCTGCGTTGATTCAAACATTCACAAAAACACATATACCAGTGATTTGTTTATTCTAGATCCATAAATAATTCCCATACACTAAATATTATATCTGCTGGGAACCTAATGTTTTGCGTTAGTGTAACCTTTAGTGTTACTGAAAGACTGAGAATGATCATTTATCACGTGGCGTTTAACGGTTTTCATTCAGTCACGCCATGACGCCCACTGTGGAAGAACACGAGTTTATCGTCGAACATTAAATCAAGAATGCATCCTTTAGGGAATGTTAAATTGAATTAAAAAATCGTTTTGGTGGTCGTACAAAACCTTCGAAATCAGTGATCTGGAAACTGGTGAAGCAGTTCAGAGAAACAGGCTGCGTGGAAGTTAAAAGCTATAAGCTCTAGCCAAGTGTTGTTACACCGGGGAAAGTGGATGAAGTAAGGGAAAGAATGGAAAGCAAGTCCGAAAATATCTCGGAGACGTTTAGCACAACAAGGTCACTGTTCATATTCCAGTGCAGGGAAGGCGGTCAAGACACTCAACCTTTATCCCTCCCAAATACACGCAGCGCATCAGCTTCTGGAGCCAGACAAAGAGTAACGTGTAGCTGACCGTGAGTGGCTACAGAGGTCGGTTAGAGACCAAGGCAATGTTTTGAATGTTATGTGTGTTACAGATGGAGCTTGGTTTCATCTTTCTGGGCATGTAAATTCACAAAACACTCGTTTATGGCTAAGTGAACAACCTAATACAATGCACGAAAGGCCATTGCATTCCGCGAAAATTGGTGTTTGGTGTGCTGTAAGTCGGCAAAGAATTATTGGCCCAATTTTCTTCTCAGAAACGGTAAACTCAGAACGCAACATCAACATCATCCATGAGTTTCTTGGCCGCCTTACAGAAGAGGAAAACAACCAGGGATGGTTTTAGCAGGATGGTGCCACGAGTCGCACTCCGTCAGGAACGAGCTGAGGCTAATGTTTGGTGACCGTGTAGTGCCCAAGTCATTACGATCACCTCGGTCCCCAGATCTTACGCTGCCAGATTACTTTTTGTGGGGATATATTATAAAGTATATAGTGTAGGCTACAAAGTCGCGCACCCTTGGTGAATTATAAGCAATAGTCAGTGACTCAATAAGCAATATTCCCCAAGAAATGCTACACTGTGTCGGGGAGCTGCCAAGAATAATTGTCTCCGCAACACGGTGGTGGACACTTGAAGCACATTCTTTAAGGTAATCAATTGTGTGGATCATGTCACGTGTTTCTGTAACATTAGGCTACATTTACATACACTATTAGGTTCCTAACACATACTGTTTTTAGTGTATGGGAATTATTAAGGGTTCTCGAATAAAAATTCAAATTATATATAGGCCTATGTATATATATATATATATATATATATATATATATATATATATATATATATATATATATATATATATATATATATATATATATATATATATATATATATATATATATATATATATATATATGAATGAAGGGCCTCTCAGCTGTAGTTATGCCCAGTAAGGGGAGGGTGACTGTAAGAGCGACAATCACTAGCTTCATTATAGATCAATTTATGAACGATGATGCTCAACAAGAATTATCTGAGCTGTGTTAGCAGTTATGCTCATTAGAGGCATCAAGGTGGGATAGTCATTATGCTCGGTGAGGGGCCACCTGTTAGTTTAGAGTTATCCTTCATTAAGGGCCACCTCGCTAGGGTGGACTTAAGCTCAATAAATGGCCACCTCACTCGTATAAAAAATGCTCAATAAAATCACTCCTCACTAGCATGGTTATGCTCATCTAAAGGGGCCACGTCTTTATTAAAGGGCCATTGCGCTAGTACGTATATGCTCAGTAAAGGGCCACTCCGCTAGCATAATTATGCTCAGTAAGGGACCACCTCACGAGAGCAATTAAGCTTAATAAGGAGCCACCCATTCAGCAAGAAGGGAAACTATGCTCTCTAAGGGGCCTCCAACCAAAATATTCCAGGCGATTACCAAAATATTCCAGGCGATTACTAAAATATTCCAGGGGATTCCTAAAATATTCAAAGCGATTCCTAATATATTCCAGACGATTCCTAACTTGTACCAGTAGATTTGTAATATATTGTCTCCCTCACCCCCCTTGTGTCTCCCTCACCCCCCTTGTGTCTCCCTCACCCCCCTTGTGTCTCCCTCACCCCCCAGGCCTCACCCCCTTTGTGTCTCCTCAACCCCCTCAGGTCTCCTCACCCCCCCTAGTCTCCTCAACCCCTAGGCCCTCACCTCCTTGTGTCTCCTCACTCCTTGTGTCTCCTCGACCCCTTGTGTCTCCCTCCCCCTTGTGTCTCCTC